CTAAAAAAAGTAACAAAATCATCATTTAAAGGCAATCAGTCCTGTAAAAATTCATTTGACGAGTTCTGCCATGTTAACTTATTTATAGAACTTTTTGTTCTGGTCATTTTTTCTTTTCAAAAATTGTCTCTGTTATATTTTTCGAGTTTATTACACCAAAACAAAACTTTGATAATTCAGGGACAATTACACCAAATTTGGTCATCTGATTTTTCTGAAAATTGCACATATGATAAACCTTGACACGCTGATAAGGTTTACTCTAACTTCTTTAGTTTTTTTTTAGTTATAAATAAAGCTAAAAAACTTGAAAATTAAAAAAAAAAATTCAGGGGCTACAACTTCAAAATGGCTTGTCTGATTTTTCCGAAAATTCAGCAAGAGATAGACCTTAACCTGCTGATAATTTTTTTCCCAGTCAGATTTGCTCTAACTTCTTTGATTTTGAGATATAAGCCAATATCTGCATGTTACCCCTATGTTCTATTTTAACCATGGTGGTCATGTTTCTTGAAGGACAAGAATACAACACATAAACTTTATACTAGATATTCTTAGGATCATTCAGCCCAAATTTGGTTGAAATTGGTCCAGTTTCAGAGAAAATCTTTGAAAATTGTTTAAACCAGACGACAAGGGATGACAAAAGCTCACATGGCCTTTTAGGCCAGGTTAAAAAAGGCCAGGTTAGCTAAAAAGAGCAGTTAAACAATCAGTTATCCACAGAACATTATGCCAAGTACTAAAGATAAAGCAATACAAACCTATCTCATGTAACTCATTTCTACTTCTAGTGACACGTTTTTCTACTGATATCTAAAATCTGAGGAACATCAGTAGAAATATACACTGAACAAAGAAAAATCTTACCTCCAAGCTTTAAAGCAGTTTTTAAAAGGGGAGATGAAAATAAGGAGGCAATCAAGAACTATGTCAAAAATAGACAAATGGTTTTACACTAGTAATTTTTTGGGGCCCTTTATAGCTTGTTGTTCGGTGTGAACCAATGCTCCGTGTTGAAGGTCGTACCTTGACCTATAATGGTTTACTTTTATAAATTGTAACTTGGATGGAGAGTTGTCTCATTGGCACTCATACCACATCTTCCTATATCTATAAACAACACCACGCTGCTCTCCCATACAATAGATTCTCACAAGCTTCCAAGCAACGAAGACACACAATAAATTCCGATTCTTAAAACCTTTTTATCTCATGTTGTATGAAACATTTGTTACAAGAAACCTCATCTCCTTCTCATCTTGATGGAAAAAAATTGCAAATGATAAGATATTTATTACAAGATATCTCATCTTCTCCACAGCCTCATCTTGATAAAACAAAACAATGATAAGATATTCATTACAAGATATCTCATCTTCTTCACAGACTCACCTTGATAAAACAAAACAATGATAAGATATTTATTACAAGATATCTCATCTTCTTCACAGCCTCATCTTGATAAAACAAAACAATGATAATATATTTATTACAAGATATCTCATCTTCTTCACAGCCTCATCTTGAGATATCGCATCTTCTTCACACTCACCTTGATAAAACAAAACAATGATAAGATATTCATTACAAGATACCTCATCTACTTTACAGCCTCACCTTGATAAAACAAAACAATGATAAGATATTCATTACAAGATATCGAATCTTCTTCACAGCCTCACCTTGATTAAACAAAACAATGATAAGATATTCATTATACGATATCTCATCTTCTTCACAGACTCAACTTGATAAAACAAAACAATGATAAGATATTCATTACAAGATACCTCATCTACTTTACAGCCTCACCTTGATTAAACAAAACAATAAGATAGTCATTACACGATACCTCATGTACTTTACAGCCTCACTTTGATAAAACAAAACAATGATAAGATATTCATTACAAGACACCTCATCTACTTTACAGCCTAACCTTGATTAAACAAAACAATGATAAGATATTCATTACAAGACACCTCATCTACTTTACAGCCTCACCTTGATTAAACAAAACAATGATAAGATATTCATTATACGATATCTCATCTTCTTCACAGCCTCATCTTGATTAAACAAAACAATGATAAGATATTCATTACACGATATCTCATCTTCTTCACAGACTCAACTTGATAAAACAAAACAATGATAAGATATTTATTACAAGATATCTCATCTTCTTCACAGCCTCATCTTGATAAAACAAAACAATGATAAGATATTCATTACAAGATACCTCATCTTCTTCACAGCCTCACCTTGATAAAACAAAACAATGATAAGATATTCATTACAAGATACCTCATCTACTTCACAGACTCCCCTTGATAAAACAAAACAATGATAAGATATTTATTACAAGATATCTCATCTTCTTCACAGCCTCACCTTGATAAAACAAAACAATGATAAGATATTCATTACAAGATACCTCATCTACTTCACAGCCTCACCTTGATAAAACAAAACAATGATAAGATATTCATTACAAGATATCGAATCTTCTTCACAGCCTCACCTTGATTAAACAAAACAATGATAAGATATTCATTATACGATATCTCATCTTCTTCACAGACTCAACTTGATAAAACAAAACAATGATAAGATATTCATTACAAGATACCTCATCTACTTTACAGCCTCACCTTGATTAAACAAAATTAAACAATAAGATAGTCATTACACGATACCTCATGTACTTTACAGCCTCACTTTGATAAAACAAAACAATGATAAGATATTCATTACAAGACACCTCATCTACTTTACAGCCTAACCTTGATTAAACAAAACAATGATAAGATATTCATTACAAGACACCTCATCTACTTTACAGCCTCACCTTGATTAAACAAAACAATGATAAGATATTCATTATACGATATCTCATCTTCTTCACAGCCTCATCTTGATTAAACAAAACAATGATAAGATATTTATTACACGATATCTCATCTTCTTCACAGACTCAACTTGATAAAACAAAACAATGATAAGATATTTATTACAAGATACCTCATCTACTTTACAGCCTCACCTTGATAAAACAAAACAATGATAAGATATTCATTACAAGATACCTCATCTACTTCACAGACTCCCCTTGATAAAACAAAACAATGATAAGATATTTATTACAAGATATCTCATCTTCTTCACAGCCTCACCTTGATAAAACAAAACAATGATAAGATATTCATTACAAGATACCTCATCTACTTCACAGCCTCACCTTGATAAAACAAAACAATGATAAGATATTCATTACAAGATATCGAATCTTCTTCACAGCCTCACCTTGATTAAACAAAACAATGATAAGATATTCATTATACGATATCTCATCTTCTTCACAGACTCAACTTGATTAAACAAAACAATGATAAGATATTCATTACAAGATACCTCATCTACTTTACAGCCTCACCTTGACTAAACAAAACAATAAGATAGTCATTACACGATACCTCATGTACTTTACAGCCTCACTTTGATAAAACAAAACAATGATAAGATATTCATTACAAGACACCTCATCTACTTTACAGCCTAACCTTGATTAAACAAAACAATGATAAGATATTCATTACAAGACACCTCATCTACTTTACAGCCTCACCTTGATTAAACAAAACAATGATAAGATATTCATTATACGATATCTCATCTTCTTCACAGCCTCATCTTGATTAAACAAAACAATGATAAGATATTCATTACACGATATCTCATCTTCTTCACAGACTCAACTTGATAAAACAAAACAATGATAAGATATTTATTACAAGATACCTCATCTTCTTCACAGCCTCACCTTGATAAAACAAAACAATGATAAGATATTCATTACAAGATACCTCATCTACTTTACAGCCTCACCTTGATAAAACAAAACAATGATAAGATATTCATTACAAGATACCTCATCTACTTTACAGCCTCACCTTGATAAAACAAAACAATGATAAGATATTCATTACAAGATACCTCATCTACTTTACAGCCTCACCTTGATTAAACAAAACAATGATAAGATATTCATTACAAGATACCTCATCTTGATTAAACAAAACAATGATAAGATATTCATTACAAGATATCTCATCTTCTTCACAGCCTCACCTTGATTAAACAAAACAATGATAAGATATTCATTACAAGATACCTCATCTACTTTACAGCCTCACCTTGATTAAACAAAACAATGATAAGATATTCATTACAAGATATTGAATCTTCTTCACAGCCTCACCTTGATTAAACAAAACAATGATAAGATATTCATTACAAGATATCGAATCTTCTTCACAGACTCATCTTGATAAAACAAAACAATGATAAGATATTCATTACAAGATACCTCATCTACTTTACAGCCTCACCTTGATTAAACAAAACAATGATAAGATATTCATTACAAGACACCTCATCTACTTTACAGCCTCACCTTGATTAAACAAAACAATGATAAGATATTCATTACAAGATATCGAATCTTCTTCACAGCCTCACCTTGATTAAACAAAACAATGATAAGATATTCATTACAAGATATCGAATCTTCTTCACAGCCTCACCTTGATAAAACAAAACAATGATAAGATAGTCATTACAAGATACCTCATCTACTTTACAGCCTCGTCTTGATTAAACAAAACAATGATAAGATATTCATTACAAGATACCTCATCTACTTTACAGCCTAACCTTGATAAAACAAAACAATGATAAGATATTCATTACAAGACACCTCATCTACTTTACAGCCTCACCTTGATTAAACAAAACAATGATAAGATATTCATTACAAGACACCTCATCTAATTTACAGCCTAACCTTGATAAAACAAAACAATGATAAGATATTCATTACAAGATACCTCATCTACTTTACAGCCTAACCTTGATTAAACAAAACAATGATAAGATATTCATTACAAGATACCTCATCTACTTTACAGCCTCACCTTGATAAAAAAAAAACAACAAATGATAAGATATTTATTATATTTTCATATTGTCACCCAGCAGATTTTAACAAATGTACAAATTAACAAAATGAACTAAGGGAGATAAATCAAACAAAAATAAATACTATTAAATATTTTGCTCAAATTAGTTATTTAGGACGGCAAGTTGAAAATATATAATGCATTTAATTTATATTATAACTTCCATAATACTAATCTCACTTAATAAACCTTTCACTAAGTATCAGAAAACTGAGAAAAAAAATACTAATGCTGCTTGTAGCAAAAAATAAACAGCGGCAAGAGAAATGTAAAAACTATAAAAGCTTCTCACAAAAAAAAAGATCTAAAACAAAAACCAAAAAGATTTAACTCTTACCACTCTCTGATTACTAATGTAAGAGATATATACAACAGATAAAATATATTTTGTCAAGTTTTAAATACTGTATTCAAGATTTAAGGCCATACAAATAAAATCCTACCTTGTGATGTGTTTTCATAAATTTCATTTAATAATTTTCTGGTACAAAAAATGAATTATTTGTTACCAGCAATGAATTGTTTTTCTCGTTCCCAGTTGTGAATGATGAATCATATTTGTAATTAATGAATATTCTTTGTTATACCTAAATAGTCCAAATACTTATGGCGTCTTGAAAGGCTATTTTATTTTTTTGCTTTAGCCTTTCAATATGACATAATTATTTGGACTAGCCCCTAGATTGCTTATGCCTCTAACTGATATTTTATTAAACAATTCAAGGTATGAAAAACAGTGGTGGCTGAAAATATTTAATCAGAATCTAGAAGAATATTCAGGACAACTGTATAACTATAAATTGTATGAGATTCAAATTTTCTATAAAAACAAGCATTATATTTTAATAACGAAAACTACAAGTAATCTTCCATAATAACAACAAGAAATTGTGTATTCTGTAATACTTGAACAGTGTGTGAACAGTGAACAAAAAGTACATAAAACGATGTACTAGTAAAATAAAAAAATTGCAATACTTTTTAACAATTTTTTTTTTTATATTATAGTATTTCTATTTGATTTACATTGTTACAGATGACGCTCATTGTGGAGAAATTCTTTTTACTTATGGATATATTTTAACTAACAGCAATTTTGTCAGAAAAAGAAAAAATTTTTGGTTCAATTTAATAATTTCTTCATACAACTGGAACATCTGATGGAATGCCTCTTATAAATGGGAGTAAACATTTAAATATAATAATTTTATTAGGATTAACAAAAGTTTGAACATAAAAAACAAAAAGGTACGATATTCAGTGCATATGGTCCCATCAACTGAAGGTTGGTTATAATTTTACTATATTAAGAGAAGAAAAAGGGTTATGAACAAATTGTGATACGGTAACAATGCAAACTTAGCCCAATCACTAATCTATCAGGCTACAAAGATCAAGAAAACTTACTTCTTCTATCAAAATAAAGAATTACATGTAAATGATATTGGAATGTTTTCCAAAATAGGTCTGTATGATAAATGTATCTACAAATTTTTATTAGACTAAAATATAATGTCTGTGAAATATTTTTTATTGTTTTAGCTTTTAATTTTAGAAATTGTCCTGAACAGCCGATTTAACTGATGATAAGACTTTCTTCTGGTTTTGGTTTAAAAATTAACTCATTTGCTTAAACATAAGTTAGAGCTCTTGTTGTATATATACAAGTACAGCCTTTTGCACTGATGCATCAATAAGCAATGATTGTTATTCAATAAACCAATATGATCTACTAGAAACCATTTCCATTTAAGATTACTTACTATTTGCAAATTAATTTTAACATGTTTTAAAAGCAGTTTTGTCTGTAGTTCATGAAAGATGAAAAGAATGTTAACTGAACTATCTTTATATGGTCAAAGGTGCCATTTAAAATGGATCTTATTCTTATAGTACTGCAATAAAATCTTGAACCAGGTAAGTAAAGCATTACTGGTCTACTTTTACCTTGATTCTCAACTGTAACCCAAAGTCACAAGTTCAGCAATCAAATATTTATGTAAATGAGATACCAATTTAAAAGGAAACTGGAGCATGAACAGTAGGTCAGTATACCCCCTTTCAACCTCATATGGTGAATCTATATGTATATGCAACTTTGAACAATTTTACAACATGTAACAGAGAGATTTGATAATCAAGTAAATGAAGAATGCGTCCATGATACAGAGATGCCACTGCTTGTAAATATACGGCAAATTGTGCAATTTTTCAATTTACAAAGGGACATAACTCAAAAACGGCAAAAGTGATGCCACCCAAATTCAAACTTGATCTGTGTTTGGTGGTAATAAACATTGTGTATAAGTTTCATAACATTTGGTTGAGGCAAACTAAAGTGAAGAGTGTGGAAACAGCAAATTTGGCAATTTTTCCATTTATAAAGGGACATAACTCAAGAACGATGCAAGTGACACCACTGAAATTCAACCTTGATCTGTGTTTAGTGAAAATAAGCATTGTGTATAAGTTTGGTAACATTCGGTTAAGGCAAACTAAAGATGGAGAACTGAAACTAATTTTGGGATGTAAAACCAAATTACCTCTATCAAGACAGGGGCATAAAAAATGGGGAGTGGGGGTACTATTCCTAGAACATACACATCAAATCAATCTGCCCCTGATTCATTCTGGAAATAATCTTGTCTAAAGTCATTTCAGAGTGAAATATTTCTTGTGTTGATATTTCTTTAGATAGATATGAGACCCAAATTAAACCTAAGATACATAAGGATGTAAAACAGAAATTCTGTCTGATATTATATGGAGGTAACAGTGACTTGGACTTAGCATGTACACCAAACTTGGACATAGCATGTACAACAAACTTGGACATAGCATGTACACCAAACTTGGACATAGCATGTACACCAAACTTGGACATAGCATGTACAGCAAACTTGAACAAAGTGTGTGCACCAACAGTTCTTTCAACTTTGTGTAAGTGAAATATAATGTCAGTACATTCATATATACATTGGATAATGCCCCTTTATCAATTATTTGTTAAAAATGATTTATACTTTCTAATATTTATGAAGAAAACTATATTTATTTCAACTTGTATTGTATGGAATGATCATTATGATGATTATGGGCTGGTCTAGCAAGACTTTGTCAAAAACCATCACTGAAGACCACATGTTGACATCAGGAAGATTGAATTTCTTTTGTTTTGCCTTGATTGTATTGATGAGTTGCTGTCTTATTATTGACCTATAAACAATGATTCTTTTTTTATTATTAAAACAGAGCAGGAAGCTTTGGTTAGATCATACAATGCTTTTTCGGTTAACTATACAAACAATAATACTCAATATAAACTCATATCTCTCAGTTTTTATTTAACTGATTATGACTTCGGAGAAAATTAAAAGAACAAACAAAATCAATGTTCTTTTTCCGCTGAAATGTACAATTTCACAGATGTCATAGAGTTTTTTTTTTCAAAGTTCACCATGAAAAATGAAAGATAAGCCCCCCAAAAAAATTGATATTTCCTTTCCTCAATATGGACTCAATATAATTTATAAACATTGTACAATGTATCACAGAGATGAAAAGGGACAATTAAAAAAAAACAATAATATAGACATACATAATATTGCATAAGAATGTTCTCAATGTCTTTCCTTTTACAATAAAAAGCAACAAGGAAAAAACACAATACTGTAGATTCATTTATTTTCATGGATTCCCAATTATTGTGGATTGATGAAACATACAATGTATATTGTAAATTTGTGGATATTTGAATTCGAGGATTTGCCAAAATATTAATAAAAGCCTATAGAATATTTGTAGTTTATTGAACATATAACATGTTTAAATTTGTGATTCTGATATGACATTCTTCTAACACTTTTAGTACACCCGTGGTAAAATATGAATATATTGTATGTCAGCTGATCGACAACGTCATTATTTGTTTGGGCTGTTCCCATCATCATCCAAAGATGTATGCTTTTTAAGAATGATTAATCCCAGGTCAGTCCCTGTAAATGATGTCATTGAACGATGACATAAAAAAAAAATACAAGCATTCTACAGGAAAACGGAGGAATGTAAAACTGAATTTCATCAAAACACGGGCACATAAACAAATGATGATAAAAATTTGTTGAAAGCCAATTTTCTTTTAAAAAAAGTAAGATAATCATTTAATTTCATCACAAACTGTCTTTAACCATGTCACTGATTCAGTTTTCTTTGTCTTTTACTTCAATATTATAGTGTTGTTTAATTACTGTAACAGCAAATATTTGCTTTCACCTAGAACGCTTCTTTCTAACAGATTTACCGTATTTGTCCTATTAGAATAGAAATAAATCAAGGGCTTGAATTATACTGATTTTACACTGGGTTTGCCCTTTATGCCGACATTTTACCCCGCTTTAACTCGTGGTGAAATATTTAGCATAAAGGGCCAACCTGTGGTAAAATCAGTATAATTTCAAGCCCCCATGAATTATTTCTTCATATACAAATATGTACCTATACCTACAAAATTCACAAAAAAGTTTATAACCCACGAATAAGAATGAATCCACAGTACATAGTAATAACAGAATACTCCAATAACTCTTTTACATTATTCAACTTATTCAACAGTGTTAACATACATTTATGTGTATCTAACCGAATGTAAAAGTTCTCACAAAATAACACATATACTACATTGAACATGGACTTATATACATAAATATATATATATATATACATTCAATTAATTATCACAGACTGAACAGATATCCACATTTAGTATCACAAATAATGAACACTTTTAAGCTGAGCTTTTTAGAAGCTGTCTTGATATATATACAATGTACTAATATCAACAATTTATTTTGTAGAAGCTTTAGATATAATTTAAGTTACAAAGTACCAATGAAATGCCAAACTTTTAGTTTTAAGGAATCTTTTCAATATTTCAGTAAATTACAAGCCTTATAAGAGACATTTAATACATGATTCTGTTTTTATGGTCCATCTAACAGTTTAATTCATAAATATCATATCATAACTTTATTTTATTTCTAAAAAGCTGCATATAGAACTATTTACTATATAATTTACAAGGTCATGACACAAGTTAACAAGAGGCATGTGAACAGGTCAGTTTTTACAAGCTTTATGAACAAGTTCTTCAAACATGTATGAAGAAGTTTAAGTATATAAACTTTTTCTAGTAAAAAGTCATACAAATGTATCAATACACAAGGTAAGCACTATCAAACAGTAATCAGTAAAACATTTTCAACCAAGCAATTTAAAAAAAAATATAGCAGTATGAAATTAGGAGTATGGCTGTCTAAATCTAATTAAGCTGCTTCAGTAAACACTTGCATTTTAATACTGGCGGTCATCAGCTTATGGAGACTTTCGCACTTGAAATTGGTAAAAGATTTTGTTTTACTTCTTCATTGATGAGTCTGTTATTAGTACCAGTACTTTTGGGATATAAAGATATATATCCTCAGAAATAAAGTTATGTGGAAATTAACATAGAGATACAATTAACTGATGCAGTCTGGCCAAATTCTAAAATTAACATAGAGAAACAATTAACTGATGCAGTCTGGTTTGGTTTGATAGCCATGCTCAAGAACTCATAACCAATATATTTATGGTTACACAGAATGACACAGAAATTAAAAGAAATTTCAAAATCCCTTAAGCGTAGAAAAATGGCACTTGTGATAAGTCCCGGGAATAGAATGTGCTGTAAACCAATTCTACCAGGAAAAATAAACAATAGAGTGCATATTGGTATTTGACCAATCTGATTAAATACAGATCCTGTGTCCATGCTTACAAGGATCTGACAAGACTCCTTCTACTTACTGTTCTGGAAATCATTTCATAAACATCAGCCAATGAAATTTCTGCCCACAAATTTTGTATATACATATTACTACGACAAAACAGAAAGGGCTATAAAACAAAAGTAAAACAGTGTGTTGTTAGATCTTTGTCTGGTCACATGATCAGTATAAGATTGGTATTTGACATCATTGGTTTTCCTTAATTACTGGTTACTTTCCAAAACAGTCAACAAATATTTCTAGAATGTTTTAAATCATATTAAAGTTTCCTTATAAAAATTCTGACCGTGCAAGGACAGCCAGTCAAGGTCGTTAAAAACCACCCTAGTAGTTAATTTATAAAAATTAAATTAAGATTTTTTTTATCATTTATCCTTGTAAAAACTATAAATAATTCCAAAATAAATCTTTAAACTTTAATTTTTAAATCTATTGTCTAAGGTGAAAGTTATTACAGATATGATTGATACTACAGTAATACATATTTTGGCTTCTTTAAAGAGCTAAATTCATTTTGATTAAGACCATGCTTCCAATGGCTCATCAGTATGCCCTACTCTGAAGAAACAACAACTACAGCAAGCCTTTGGCCTTGTTTTGAATTTTGCAGTATCACAGTCGTAAATCTGAATTTCTGAAAATCTTGTTCCTCGGAGAGATACTATTAACTGGTTTTTTGTGTATGCCACACAGACAGGCTTGACATCTATTCCCAGCTGGAATGTGTTTTGAACTGGACATGCCAGGAATTCACCTTTTGGTGAGAATAACTGTACTCTGTAATTGTTCGCGTCTGCAACAAAAATGTTATCGTAATCATCAACACAAATGCCCATTGGATAAAATAAAGAACCTAAAGCGGACCCTTGAGATCCAAACATACATCGTATACTGCCATCGGTTTTGTGTATTTTGATTCTGTGGTTTCCGCTGTCAGATACAATGATGTCATTTTTACTATTTGTTGTAATGTAATATGGAAAAAGAAATTGTTCTAAGTTTTCTCCCCCAGTTCCAAATGAAAATGCATGTTTCTTTCTGTCTGTGAAGATATGAATTCTGTTCCTTTGAAGACTACTAACAATTATACGTTCACGTTTACTTATCGCTATTCCAAAAGGGTTTTCACTTTTATACACATCACCATATTGTGCAATCAGGCGACCATCTGTTGTATATTCACGCAATATAGCATTTCCTGACCGACTGACTGTAACTAAGATTGATCCAGCCTTAGTTACAGCCACATCTCTGATAGAACAGTCACATTTGAAAGACACATTTTTAGTATCCCCGTCTGGGATATATATGGTAATTGTGTTTTTACTACAGTCAGCAATAATTATCCTTCCTGTTTTGGGGCAAACAGCAAGGCCAGAAATGTTTACAAATCCTTCGGGTCCACTATCAAACTGTCCAAATCTCTGTGAAAACGTCAATGAACTCTTTTTAGAGGTGGGTCTATCTGTGAGCGGAAAGTCGGGTCGGTCACCCTTCGATCCAGATTGGTTTTGGCTTTGAGATGATGATAATATAGTGTCTTTCAGACTGGTTATAAGATGGTTATAGGGAAATGCAGACACTCCACCTTCTGGAAGGGTTATTTCCTGGAAAATATAAATACAAAATAAAATCATTCCACTATGACTGCAAAGATAAAAGATTAAGGAATTGATTGGACAAATAGTGGATGCCAATGGATGAACTTTAGATAAAAATTGTTCAAGCATGAGATGAGGACCCTGTGGAGCTTTCTTCCAAAATGGATAAACCAAATACTTCAGAACATATATACAATCATGCTACAGCAATAGGGACTTGTCTACAGGTCAGATATGTAGACCGTTATAGTCTACATGTACATGTTGTATGAACATTTCTAAAAAATGTGTACCAGTACTCTTTAAGCATAGCGGTAAACATTTTTCTTTAAGCCAACATGCAATAAAATGCTCCACAGGGCGCAGCTTGATACGACCGCAGAGGTCGAACCCTGAACAGTAGGGGCAAGTATGGACACAACATTCAAGCTTGATACAGCTTTGCATTTGGATTGTGATTAAATATTTGACACAGCATAGGTTTCTGACACAGAATGAATGTGGTCTAAGAACTTTAAAATTTTAAATTGGACATTCACCTATTATGGTCCAATATCCAAAATCTAAATACATGGTTAGATTCAGCATATCAAAGAACCCAAAGAATTCAATTTTTGATGAAATCAAACAAAGTTTAATTTTGGACCCTTTTGACCTCAATGTGGACAAAGTTGATAACGGGGCCCAAAAATCAAAAATCTAAATACATGGTTAGATTCAGCATATCAAAGAACCCCATATATTCAATTTTTGTTGAAATCAAACAAAGTTTAATTTTGGACCCCGATTTGGACCAACTTGAAAACTGGGCCCATAATCAAAAATCTAAATACATGTTTAGATTCAGCATATCAAAGAACCCTAAGAATTAAATTTTTGTTAAAATCAAACTAAGTTTAATTTTGGACCCTTTGGACCTTAATGTAGACCAATTTGAAAACGGAACCAAAAATTAAGGATCTAAATACACAGTTAGATTCGGCATATCAAAGAACCCCAATAATTCAATGTTTGATGAAATCAAACAAAGTTTAATTTTGGACCCTTTGGACCTCAATGTGGACCAATTTAAAAACAGGGCCCAAAATCCAAAAACTAAATACCCGGTTAGATTCAGCATATTAAAGAACCCCAAGAATTCAAGAATAAAACCCCATTGAAATTGGTCAAGAAATAAGCAATTTATACGAAGTATCTTCTTTTGCACAATACTGTGCAATTAAATATTTCTTGCTATTGCGCAATACTGTACAATTGACAATTTCTTGCTATTGCGCAATATTGTGCTATTGGATATTTCTTGCTATTGCGCAATACTGTGCAATTGAAGATTTCTTGCTATTGCGCAATACTGTGCAATTGAAGATTTCTTGCTATTGTGCAATACTGTGCAATTGAAAATTTCTTGCTATTGCACAATACTTATTATATAATAATTTACACATCCTGTTTGGTGTGTATCTCCTACCATATCATTATTATTTGCTTTTAAATATAAATCAGAAATAACCAACTTAAAATGGAAAATTTTAAAGGAAAAAAAAAAGGAAAAAAAGAAACAAAAGGAAAAAAAAAAATCCCCCCCCCAATTTTTTGAACCCCCTTATGATTCATCACCCCCAAACTCAATCCCAGCCTTCCCTTTGTGGTATGGTACCTTGCAGTACAATTTCAGAGAGATCCATACACTTGAACACAAGTTATTGTCTGGAAACTAGAAAAATGTGTTTTTTGGCCCCTTTTTGGCCCCAAATTCCTAAACATTTAGGGCAATTACCCCCAAACTCAAACCCAGCTTTCCCTTTGTGATATGGAACCTTGTAGTACAATTTCAGAAAGATCCATACACTTACACACAAGTTATTGTCCTGAAACTAGAAAAATGCTTGTTTTTTGCCCCTTTTTGGCCCCTAATTCCTAAAATATTGAGGCAATTACCCCCATCATCAATCCCAGCCTTCCCTTTGTGGTATGGTACCTTGCAGTACAATTTCAGAGAGATCCATACACTTGAACACAAGTTATTGTCTGGAAACTAGAAAAATGCTTATTTTTGGCCCCTTTTTGACCCCCAATTCCTAAACGTTTCGGCAATTACCCCCAAACTCAATTCCAGCTTTCCCTTTGTGGTATGGAACCTTGTAGTACAATTTCAGAAAGATCCATACACTTACACACAAGTTATTGTCATGAAACTAGAAAAATGCTTGTTTTTTCCCCTTTTTTGGCCCCTAATTCCTAAAATTTTGAGGCAACAACCCCCAAAATCAATCCCAGCATTCCCTTTGTGTTATGGAACCTTGAGGTACAATGTCAGAGAGATCCATACACTAACACACAAGTTATGTCTGGAAGTTACAAGTATGCTTATTTTTGGCCCCTTTTTGGCCCCTAATTCCTTTACTGTTGGTACCATAACCCCCAAAATCAATCCCAACCTTTCTTTTGTGGTATTGAACCTTGTGGTAAAATTTCATAGAGATCCATTCACTTAAACTAAAGTTAGAGTGCGAAAACCAATGTGTCTATGGACGATGCCGGACGACGACGCCGACGCCAACGTCATACCAATATAAGACCACAAAAATTTTTTTGCGGTCGTATAAAAACAAAATGCACAGACAATATAGTATCTTAGTATCCATACTGTATGATTATTCTTTAGTATGTTCATTTGACCATTTGAGGTTTAATTGCCATATCAAATTATTTGAATTCTAACAACTGTCATATTCCAGACTTGGTACAGGCATTTTTCTTATGTAGAAAATGGTGGATTAAAGCTCAGGTTTTAGAAAGACTGCAAGTTGCCTTTTAAGATGTCTTTGATTACTTTTGTTGTTTGGATGCTGTCTCATTGGCATATACCTCACAGCGCCTTTTCTATATATTAATGAATATACACAATGTATTCATCATGACTGCCCTTAACTGTGGGTCTCATTGAAGTCTAAGCGTGATGCGGGATCGGCCGATTTTTTGTAAGCGTGACTCCTGAAAGTCAAGTTATTGTGCATGAAAAAAGGAAACAAAGTCGGACTGGACATGTGAAATTACAAGCGTTATTAGTTCAATGATAAGCAGGATTTGGGAATCTGACAAAACAATAAGCGGGATCCGGATCAGACCCCCCCCCAATGAGACTCCCTAAATTATGGATCAGCACCAGAGAAATTTTGTTGAGGATACAATGACATCCTCGTGGGGAGAGGTCTAATGACATACCTTTTTTTCTCCTTCCTCTTCTTTCTCAAGCAACGAAGAATTAAAATTTGTTTTTGTTAAAATGAAATGAAGATTGTGAAATATTAAGATTTAAAATAGGGTTAGACTTTTTTCTAGCATTTAACCTTTCTCATATATATATACTGCTGTTTGTAACATATTGATTAGGTGGGACCAAAAGATTAGTGCTACGCCCTAAGAATATATAGATAAACCAATATACAAACCAATTAATTTTACAATACATTTATAAACCAAATGCAAGAAAAAATATAAATACTAAGATACATTGTACACCTTTATTTCTACCCTGTTTAGACATGTTAATGAGATTCAACTTGTTTGTAGGAAAAGTTTTACGATAAAATCAAGTGTACTCTGAGTCCTGTTTAATGTTCTATAAACATTATAAAGATGTATATATTATTCATTCCTAAGATCAATGTTCTCTTAACTTCACATCAATAACATTTTTATGGCATGTTATGTAATTTTATTTTACATAAAACCCATTTCTTGTATATGTACAATAATGGCATAATATAATGCAGTTTTGAAAGCCTTTTCACCACAAGCACAGGGAGGGTCTCTGACTGGGTCTCTGCCTATGTGAAGGTACAGAAGCAGAAGATATTTATTTCCATTAAATGGGCTCACAAAGAGCATAATACAATATAAGACATTAATAAAACAACAAAAAAAAAACAAATGGTCAAGTATACATACAAAGAAAAGAAAAAGCAGTTTGAACATGAATGAACTACACACACATATAAATATATATCATACACGTTTAACAGTATACATATACCTCCTTTTCAGGCACACCCCAACATGAAAAAGTGCATGTACAGTAAACAAGACATGTCATGTCGCTGGAATGGGTTGATTTTTTATTTGTCACGACATATTTCACTGAGGTGCAGTTTCACTGAGGTACATGATATATATATATCAATGGGTCATAAATTGTTAATCTTCCACTGATGTGGATCCAGGATTTTGAAAGGGGGGACAACGCAACATTTGCAGTGGGACTAGTAAACAGTCCATCCTATAACTATATATGTGGCTCCAAAAAGGGGGCCGACCCTCTTTAATCCACTTCTTTTTTCATCATTTATTGGTGAAGTGTATGTTCATACTTAGGGGATGACCATTTGATATTCTGGGGGGGCCAGGAGGATTTGTTTTGGATCGGTTATTTATTTTTGTAAACTAAGAGGACAGATTATTCATTTTCCGCACTGTTGAAGCAAGATTTTTCATTTTCATTAAAACAAGGGACTGATTATTTATTTTCATAACTATATTAATAATATTTGAAAACATACAATTTTTAAATTCATTTTTTATTATAAATAATACATGTACAGTCAAGTCATTAATGTACCATTTAATCAGAATTAATAATCATTCTCTGTGGAAATGAATCTTCTGAATTCCCAACTGCATATACATGTATTGCATACATTCACGGTATTAGAGTTGGGCTGTGACTAGCCTCTTTTAAGAGTTTTGCCAAATATATTTTCGGCGAGAGGAGCGAGGCAAAAAATTTTTGAAGGGTTTTGAAGCCGCTGAAGGCCCAAAGAAACTATAGAACAAATGATGCAAAATCATGCTTTCTGGGCGTTCCCAGACCCTTTCTTATTCTGAAAACGCAAGTTCTGTTTTAATAATTTTTTGACAATATTTTGGTCTCAAAGCAAAATGTAGAGATTCAGCGTAAGACTTAAGATTTTATGGACAACATCAAAAGACCAATATGAAGAATAAAGTAAAAATGTAATTCACATAGTTAAGTATGTGGCTGCTGGTTTTTTTGTTTTTTTGTTGTTTTTTTTTGTTGTTTCGGCATGCAGAATATAAATCTTTTATACATGTAAATTATATGGAGTTTTTACAAATTAAGTTAAGAGGGGGCTGATTATCAGTGATATAACTATGTCAAGTAATTTTTAATAACACATTTCAATTACAATTTGATGTAGCTCTTAACTGGGATACAATTTAAAGTAGTTCAGTTGTAAAATTAGCTAAAAAGTCTTAAATAACATAAAACTCATGATCAAGTTGAAAACAAAATTACTAAATCACAAAAGGAATGCAACACTAAGAGAATACAGAAGGGCAATCAATGAACAAAAGACAAATTTAAGGAAACATTGATCCCTAAAAAACAGGTGCTACGTCCAAGGGAGAACAGAACTTGCTTCTTGCAAACACTCGCTGTGAAAACAATTTGATATGAAGACAAGCTTTTGGTTTTAAAATTTCCTACAAAAAGGCATTTGCCTCAATGTAGTTACAGCCCTGTAATAAAAGTGAGGTAAGTGTTCCTGAGCCAATATACCTCAAGTTAAATGAAACCCATTTCAGACATTTCAAGTATATTTAAATAATATTTATACCTTTATTATTAAAAGATTTGGGAAGTGTTTCCCGAATTTTTTTTTGAAAAAAAGATGAATTTTATGAAGAATCTGGTGCCACCTCATACTTTCGAATAGCATTTATAAAATGGCTTAAAGACCTGCCGAGTTATTCATTTTCAATACATTGTAAGTCAGGTTATTTATTTTCGAACTACCACAATATAAGCAATTGTGTGTGAACTGTTGATTTTACATGTATACATGAACCTTTTTCTTTTTAATATAATCTTGTATATGAATGAATATAATAACCAGCATTTCCTAATTTTTTTTTATAACTTTTCTAACTATAATTTTTATGCTAATTTAAGGAGGGGCTTGCTGTCTAACATTTAACATGTTTAAGAGAAGAAAAAGAAAAAACGAACTAAATATTTTTTTTTAATATTTTTTGTAAATGTTACATATTTGTATTGTTTATTTGTGTACATGATATTTCATGTATTTGTAGCAATCCAATTGTTTGGAATTTACACTGATAAATATCTATCTTATCTTATCTCAGAAATTTTATTAACACTTGTAATGTAAAAAATCCTTTTCATTCTAATCAAAGAGGCCAAAGGTTGTATAATTTAGATCTAAGAAATATATGAGAAGGTTATGTTTTGCCAGGAAAGGTTGTTAATGTAAACATAATCATTGCCAGACCCCCTCATAACAGACAAGCAAATAAATTGACATGAAATGTTCTTAGATTATAAAAAAAAAAAAAATTGAAGTAAGAAATGAATGATTTATCCCCCTAACCCTTCTCCATTAAAAAACATTTGTAATATCTGATCAATACAACCATTATGAATAGCCCACTCACAGTTCTAACAGTAATTTTTCAACAAAAGGCATATATTCATTTTTTATCAACATTATTTAATTATTTATTTTTTTTTGTCACTAGATTCCCTTTAAAAAAAATTGCTTTCCAATAAATTTAAAAGTACAATGTTAAAACCAATGTAATACTGTAAACATTTAAAAAGTTCGTGTCCTTGATCTATTGACACATGTACATGCAAATGAATTATTAAATTACGTGACTGTTAACTAGTTAAAAATTATATACATTCTCTTTAAGATTTGTATAGTAGTTCATAAACAGTTTAATTTCTTCAATTTTTATCAGAATTAAGAGAGAAAAACTCTAAAAAGCAAACAAAAATAGATAAATTAATCCCAAATAAGAACCTCAATATTATAAATCAATGAAAAATTAGAGTTAATTCCCCTGATATTGCAAACTGTTTCTTTGTTGTCCTTGCCATACCACATGATTTATTCCATAATAAATACAGAAATAAATCATAAATATAAAGATCCAATTTTCAAAATACAAAATTAATAAGTTAGCGACTTACCAGACGACATATGGGACATGGAAACTGGACGCTTCCCTGGTTACCGTTCCCTGTGAATTTCTTTATGTAGTCTTCGATACAACCTTCACAGAATGTGTGTAAACATGGCAAAGCCTTTGGTTGATTGTAACATTGGAGACATATTGAACACGATAGAAATGTGTCTTCAATTTGCTCCACGACGTTGGGAGCCGTCATCTTACTGTAAACATCCCGAAGTTTAGATCGGAACAGGTGCTTGTTCAATCGGACATTTTCATTTTCACAACAGGTGTCACGTGGTTAGGCTACTGGAAGGGATTAATATCAGTCTACCAAAGCAAAATTTATATAGTATAAATCCTTGACCAAAGTATTAATCAAATTGTAAATTAATCTTGGACTTCTTTTTCAAGGTGAAAATGTTATCAAATAATGAAAACATTTAACTCGTAACTGATAACGAACGTATTCATGCAAAACGACTCAAGTACAAGAGCGACAGATTTATAGGTATGCATAATAATATACTTTATACAAGTCCCACTTCTAACTTTGTCTTGCCAGCCCCTTTTGAAAATCCTGGATCTGCACCTGGATACGTTCTTCATTAATTAATTTCATTGTGTCATGGCAGTCTTTTTTGGAGGGGAGGGGGCATTCAGTAGTCTTATTCCCTAATTTTTTAGACCATTTTCTCTTTTTTTTTATTTATTTTTCCCGTTACACTCATCTTTTCTTTATATGCATTAATTTAGCGATTTTCAGTTAAAGTTCCACGAGCCGTATGCAAAATTTAATCATGACATAAAAGGCCATTTAATGTAGTCTGATTAAACGAAGCCGGGCCTCGGTGAGTAAGATGAGATATGTTCTAAAGTTAAGGACGTTAAGGGATAGCTACATGGGTGTCTTCAGACGGTCTTAGTTCGACTTGGGTTAACTTTATCAGCAGTATCCGAAATAAAGGTATGGATTATTTCTCTTGATTTTATTTCAAGCAAGCCTGGTTCTGTTTACATTTTGTTTTCAATCTTTACTTAAATTCACAGTCATGATCACAGTTCAAGGACGTATGATACGTCCTTGCACAGATCCATTGTACATTTGTATATGTAGTTTGATGATTTTACAATATATTGGCATGTTTCTAAACAGCTGACCAAATTATAAACGCCAAAGGACAACCCAAAACAGCAATTTTGACAAGTTTTACTATCTATATAAAACACATTAATAAAGTGTAGGTAGTACGGGGCGCCGAATGGGACTTGAACTTTTTGTAATCAAAATCAATTTTGTGTACACAAAATTCAATTCTGTCGTGTAACAAAATCTTTTTTGTCTTACAAAACTATGTGATACAGACTTGTTTTATGAGAACTTCAATTTTGTAATTACAAAATTCTTTTTTGTAGACGAAGTACATTTTTAAATTATTATCAAATAGTATGTTGCATACAAAATTGACTTTTGTTACCTGATGTGGAAATTAAAACACAACATTCAATTCTGTGAGACAAAAATTTGATTACAAAATTGAAGTTCCCATAAAACAAGTCTGTATCACATAGTTTTGTAAGACAAACATGATTTTGTTATGACAGAATTGAATTTTGTGTACACAAAATTGATTTTGATTACAAAAAGTTCAAGTCCCATTCGGCGCCCCGTACCAGAGACCAAATGACTTGCATGTGTACCAATTTAAAGTAAAAAACAAAAAGTAAACCCGAACGCAATTAATTATAGTTCATCTATTTTAATAAACTTTTGGACGAGAGAGTAAAAATGTAACAATAATGCCATCAAAATTTGGAGAAGAACACTAGTCTTGTTTGACTATGGGTGCACCAATGTTAAATCAAAGTACTGAAGTACTGAACATCGGATTACCGCAAGTTCTTGTGGATGGTCAAAACACTTGTCACAGAAAAAAATCACATCTCTATACCTGAAACTGAGGTTAATGTACAGAGATATATTTTTTTCTGAGACAAGTTCGTGCGTGGATGATGAATAAATGACAGGAAATTCAACCTCACCGTAATAACTATTATATTGTAGTGATACAAATCAGTCATGATACACTGGTTTGTTGTTATATATTATATCAATATAACAGTTACATATATATATATAATTTTCATCCATTTGTATGTCATTCTATTATACTATTCTAATAATAGTGCAGTGCAAGTGCATGGTGGACACTCTTCTGTAAAAATTCGATTTTTCTAAAAGATTGGATATGAGTAGGCATTCATATTTTCCCGCAAAAACAATTACAGAGTTACCGGTCCTTGTCGGGATTGTCGCAAAACGTTCTGAGATATTATTCCGCATGCTTTAACACAATTTTTCGGTACGTGTGCATAGATATTATCAATGATTTTTTACTTATATATATATATATCTTACGACAAAACATTTTCATATTATTAATTTATGTTCTAAACAAAAATATTTTTTATCAGTATTCATTGAAGAGATGTATTTATAACAAACGATAAGGAATGTTAGTTTGCACTCGTTAATATCCGCGTATTTATCATGTTTATAGATCGGTTACAAACCCAAAACGAAAGTTACGTAATGGAAATCTAGGCTGTAGCAATACATCGCAATGCCCTTACGGTCATCGCGATGTAAAAAGATTGAAGTTGGGTTGAAAATTTTTAATTCTTTGAACATACAAAAAAGCAGTGAGGAAATGTGTTATAATGAGTTTCCTTCCAACTAAACTCTTCGGTGCTGGACGCGTTCTCCATAAGGAATCTATTGACCCTGGGAAGAGGATAACTGACATTCATATCATTCATACCATGTCCCAGATTGACTTGTATATGAAATATCACAAAAAAATGTTCTGGTAAACAGTAATAATGTAAACAAACAACGAAACAGACTTATCACAGTAATGTCAGGATTTCCTCGACATATATTTGTATAAAATCCATATACTGCTGTGCGATTAAGGTGTCGGACCATCAATTCAAAATCCCTATCTATGCTACAAAATTTTGCAATTTTTACTGCTTTCTAAATATCTTACATCAAGTTTGACTTCATAGAAACCAGGTATATCTTGAATTGTATTTCAACCAATGTTTAAAGTCTTGTAGCGAAATACTACTGTTCGGAGTTCAAGTTCTACTAGATTTTTGCTCAAAATGGTCTACAAACATGTTTAAGGTGGCTCACCCCAATAAGGACCCCCGGTAGAATTTTTTTATTTTCACATATTTTGTAGATTTTTTTATGCTGAATCCAAAAATGCAAAGAAAAAAGGGGGTCACCAGGCTCGTTTCCCCCTCAAATGGAAGCGAAATGTGCGATTTTGTCCCTATTTCCAAACTTTTACACCCGGCTTTCAACAATAACGACTACATCAAATTCAAAGACTTTTAGAACCATGTCAGTATGATTATTATGTGAAAAAACAATTAAATTTGAAATGTAAACGTTCCCATTGGTTGTTTTAGACTTAAAAATCTTTTTATTTTCAGATTTATGTCTAAATTTGGCATTTTTTAATTTCAGTTTAAGGCTAAAAATATTGGTTAAATCGATTTTTCGTAAAATTTCCCCGGTAGATTTTTTTTAAAAACGGATATGTCAAAGCTATGAACTTTTCGAGCATTTTAAGGTAAAATAAAATGGGGGTCACCAGGCTTTTAAAAAAGTTACGAGCTTTTGTTTAACCCCTCTACCCCATGAGGTCTGATTTCAATGCACTCCATTAATTACTTGATTGTGATTTTTTTATTAATGTCTTTAAATAAATAATGTTTGTAATTATATCAATGGACGAAAGCTGAATATAAATGTGATGAACATTTTACTGTTTGTTATAAAAAAGCGAAATTTTGATTATTTTGGTGAAATACGGTAATTTTGTCTGGCGCGAGTTGCTTCCCTCTAATCTGGCGCCATAATCGGACAACAGAAATTTCAGGGTCGCCATTGCTGAGCAGCATACTGCACTGATAAATACGACCATGTGCATGAATAACAGACATAGTGGCGAATAGACAACGATGAAGGTAGAGTCATTACATAAGAAAACATAGATTTATATATATAAGACAGCCAAATGTTATCAGTATCACGAAAAATACAAAGTGGGGGGTTATCTCAAAAGAATGTAGAACAGAAAGTCACAGGACAAAAAGTCACAGACAAAAAGTCACGGACAAAAAGTCACAGGACAAAAAGTCACAATTCAGTTTTGAGATTATTTTTCTGTAAACAAGAAAACACTAATTTAAAAAATTAAATTTTTGTTTTTTCTTGAACTATTATATATGAAGCAACTTAGTAATTAAAATTTATTCAATAAATATCAATAATGATTAAATAATTGTTATGAAAACAAAATGTCAAAGTGGCTTGGTACGGAAGCAAGTTAACTCGTACCATTGCAAACTCGTACCACGTCAACTCGTACCACTAAAAGTTAACTCGTACCAGCGTAAACTCGTACCACTGGGAAGTCGTACCATTCAGAACTCGTACCACTACAAACTCGTACCATTAAAAATATATTCAATATAAATACGAATGTTTTATGATTTTTTTAAAAATCTTTATGAAAAAAGTTAAATTTCTTGAATTTTATACCAGATTTTAATGAAAACTTAGACAAAATTACGAATGTAATTTCTTAATTACCATGTTAATTAATATATTAAATTCATACAAGTCACAATAGCATTAGACACATCATTATCATATATAATTACTTACATCTATTGAAGGCGCGATGCCAATCTACAGCTACAGGTGATTTATGACACTGGGGAAGATTTGTAATGACATTTCATTTCAATGATTTCATACAACCATGGTCATCTTGATGAACAAAGAGCTGAATATTGTATATATACAAATTTCATACTTTCTAAATGTTGGTCATAAACAATTTTAAACCTTTTAAAACACAATAAATAAATTCTTTCATCAAATAAAATTCCTTTTAGAAACAATAAGAAACTACCCAAATCTATTCAATGTTACTAATTTGGAATGATTAAAAATTAAATCAAAAAGTTGTCAGTAAAAGTTAAATAAAGAGGCTGTTCAAGGGAGACGACTAAGCCAATCTGCCACAGTTTTCTCTATCCAATTAGCCAAGGAAAATAAGATACAAATTGGTCATTGTGATTTCAAATTATATAAATTTTACAGACTTAAGAGGTAATGAGTGAAATTAAAATATATATTCATCATTAAACACCATTTGAATGCATTTAAATAAGTTGGTACGAGTTTACAATGGTATGAATTTACCGTGGTACGAGTTAGCAGTGGTACGAGTTTGCATTGGTACGAGTTTGTTTTTGGTGGTACGAGTTGACATTGGTACGAGTTTACAATGGTACGAGATAACTATAATTCCTTGGTACTTAAATGGCTTCATTGTGCCAAGAAATATATCGTTGCAGCTGCATTTTAGAATTTTTAGGCATAGAAATAACTTGTCCCTGGCATCGAAACAGCATGCCCTGAGAAGTCTGTATTCAACATATGTATAAAAACAAAATCACTATTTACACTTGCTGTGCATGTAATTTTATTTTGTTTGCTCATTATTGTTGCCACAAATTCTTCATTTTTTTACGCCGTAGTGGAGTGGGCATTAAGTTTTACCCTTGTCTGTCTGTACGTATGTCCCAAAATTGGTGTCCGTTCTCAAACTTTAGTTTGCCTCATCCAAATGTTATGAAACTTATACACATTACTTATTACAACAAAATTCAGATCAAGTAAAACTTTGGGTAGTGTCACTATTACAGTTCTTTAGTTATGCTCCTTTATACATAACTTTATATGCACGTGGGGGCATCATCTGTGTCCCATGGACACATTCCCCATTTATTTAAAGTATGAACTGCATTATGCTTTTAAATGTCAATCATGGTTGATTTTCTGACAGAATTACTCTGACATTTAATTTCAGGCTTCAAGTACATGTAAGAGAAAGGAGTGATTTGTTGTGAAAGATCCTGGAATGTTCAACTTTACTTGTAAACTATTGGCAAAGAACTGACAGAATTTACACGAGAAGCCAGTATCATCTTGTCTTGCAATTGGGAACTATATGTAAAGTGCAGAAACTTAAGAACAACATTAGAAGCCAAGATCAACAATACTTGGAACTACATGTATAATCAAAGTACTGTCAGAATCCATATGAGAGAACCCAAGATCATCTACACTTGGTGTCTATATGCAAAGTGTTGTCAGAATCCACTTAAGAAGCCAAGATCAACTATAATTTGGAACTATATGCTTTAGTGCTGTCAAAATCCATAAAAAAAAATCCAAGATCAAAAGGACCTACTTTACCTACCTGTCCCAATGATGAATACAGATTATTGAGTCTTATAAAAAACACTGATGAAGAATATTGATATAAAAATAATGAAAATATAGAGCTGATCAGCTAATGATTGTACATGTACATGATGTATACATGTCAACAATAACTAGTATATTGAAATTTACAATGCTAATAAATGTTTTATAAATTTGATCTCATAGACATTTTAGGAATAAAAATCAAAAATTTTCAAAAAATGAATTTTAATAGAGCTTTTTTTGCTTTCTGTAGTGAATTTTGCTGCAAACACAATTCATGATATGCAAACTGCAATATATGCAGTTGTCTTTAATACAGAAGGTAGCTATGAGATTTGGAAATTTTGGAAATCATAATACCAAGTGGCAGTTGTGGTAAATGCACATGCCTTTGCCTCATCTTTTACCTCACCAACCCCTGACCTAAATGGCCACTTGAATTATTTTACATCATTTGGCATTTGTTTTCCATCCATATGCTATTCAGTTTCTGTTTCAAAAGTTATATTTTCTGGATAAAAGGAGAAATAAAATACAGTTTTGTTCAATGAGACAGCAACCAAACAAAACAACCAAAAGAATTATATATTGTCTGGGAAAACTTGTGTCTCACTATATTAAATGACAACATTTTTACCTACTTTAAATTCAGAAATTATTGCGTGCATTTATTATTGCAATTTTTGACGAATGGACTAAATTGCGAGTTTAATTATTGCGATTACAAAACAAATCTGCATAAAGATCTATAATTCAGTTATCAGAATGCAAGTTCTTATCATTGCGATATTCACCCTGTCGCATTATTTGCATTAATAATAACCTCACAATAATTTCTAAATTTACAGTATCACAATAATCCAGATTAATTTTGTTTTGTAAATTTAGATATGCACTCAAATTAATACAGATTGCTACACAAATCTCAAGCACATTTCAAGGTTAAAGTTACCTGATTAGGGTTGTTTATCAGATACTGTTAGCAATAGTTCATTTGTCAATGTCATGTTTTTGTGTTTTTGTCTGTTTTTTCTAATACTAAAAGTACATGTAGTAGATAAACTATATGTATGCAATGATTCACAAATGTAAGGAGTACATGTCTGTCTGGCAATTGTCATTGACCACATTTGCATGGTTCATTGGTCAATGGTAAGTCCTCTTTTAACATGCTACATTGTGTAATCAATGGGTTATTATATTTGGTGTATGGTATGATTATTAAATGTATATATTGAAATATTAAGTAAAACATGTAAAAAGATGTGATATGATTGTAAATGAGACACTCCACAAAAGACCAAATGACACAGAAATAAACAACTAAATGTCACCATACGACCTTCGACAATGAGTAAAACCTATACTGCATAGTTGGGTATAAAAGGCCTCCAAATGACAAATGTACAATTTAAAACAATTCAAATGAGAAAACTAATGGCATACTTATGTACAAAATAATGAATGAAAAACAAATATGCCTGTCTTGCAGGGTCTATCTGAACTTAACCTTATGTTCATGGTTTTGTCTGTTACTGGCATACTATATATATGTTTAAAATATTTGGTTGATGGGGTGATTGTAACAGAGGCGGATTTAGGGGGAGGGCCCATTGGTTGATTATATAGGGAATCACAGAAGCATGACTGAAGCAGGCCTCTCTTAGGCAGTCAGCCCCCCCCCCCCCCCCCCCCTTTTTCATGAAAAATTCTGGCTCCGCCACTGTGCAAGGCTGGCTTGGATTGGTTTATCTGATCATTTTCATGATCATTGATAATATTAATTTTTTCTGATACTTGTAGTGAAACTTTATCTTTAGGAATATCAACATAAAACCAATCATGAATGATGATTAGTAAAGCAGGTGAGACATTTCAGCTTGTGTACTCTTGTTAACACAAAAATTATATGGACTCGCTAGAAAATGAATGGACAATGCATGCTTGGTATGGACAAAATTCCTCCTTTTTACCATACGAGGCTGCGTATTTATCTTGGGTGGGGGTGGGGGAAGGGGCACTTCCTATATTCAAGGTTATGGGACGTGCCGCTGGAATAGGTCACCTTTTCAAGCTTGAAAATATGTGAAAAGGTCGGGGAAAACTATCAAAAATATATGATAAGGTCAATAAAGTTTCCATAACTTCTTCGTCTGTCATCTTTCTTGGTGTTCCCGGGTGTGATTTTATCAACCAAATTTTCTCTTTTAACACTTTGGTATTCTAGTCTTACATTACACTACATGAAACCCAAGCATTATAGGGGAAAAGGTTACATTTTTACCTAGGCAATATATGAAAAGGTAAACATTTTTGAAATCTAAATTTTTGAAAAAGGTGGGCTCCAGCGGCACCCCTTATCAATTAAGTATTGAAGTGCCCCCTCCTACCACCCCCCCCCCCCCCCACCCCCCGGAGGTATTTATACATCCAGCTGTATGAACACCCTGCCATAGCAAGGGATTATCTGTCAGATTAGGGAAGTCATATTTCTATACCCTACGATATAAAAATAAGGAGATGTGGTATGATTGCCAATGAGACAACTATCCACCAAAGTTCAAATTTAAAAGTCAATATTAAAAAAAATTGCATCTCCATATTATCATCATAGGCCGATAATTACGTTTCTTTGCAGCTAGCAGGTGGGTCAAACCAGTGTTCACACATCATTAAAAAAGTTGTCATGCATATTTCTTGCCGCAATGACACACTCCACTTTAATTTTTTTAAATCAAGAACTTTCCTTATTAGCTTCCCTTTTGAAAAAAACGCATGTCAAAAAGTAAGACAGAAGTTAAAGTTTGCCAATATCACCGACTATTATAGCGTCCATGTGTACTGGGCGGAGTTTTAAAATTACAATCCCAACTTTTCCTGAACCTAGTAAGTAGTATAGATTTTGTGTATATATAATGTCTTTAACTGGTAGTGTTTGGAACTGCCCGGTAGACTGCGGATGTGTGTCCTAGGCGAAATCCCGACTTGGTCAAGCCAAATATTTTGCGCCGCAAAGCATGTGGTATTGAGGGATAATAGCATATACCGATATATAAGGCCGGAATACTAGTAAGGTCCCGGTTGCTATTGACCAATTTTCATCCACATGATCAAAGGTTGAAAACTGCAAATTATTGAAATGTCCGGTTTTTTTTCTGGGTAAAACAAAAAATGAGTTGCTTGAGTTCCGTTAGTCTATTATAATAACTCATTCTTAATCAATTATTTTAGTTTTTACGCTGATATTTCCTCTTTCTTTTTTTAATGCGAACTCTGTTGGCATATTGATAGATACAACAGAAAATAGCAAATTAACAAATAGCAGAATAAGTAAAAGGAAAATATTATAAATAGAAAACATTGGCCCCGAGGTCTCATGTTATAGTACTAGAGTTCCAAATTTCATAGAATCATGATACGAGAAAATTTGTTAGATATTTTCGTGCCCATTATTTGATAAAGTATATAAATCTTTAAATTAAAATGTTATGTGTGACTGTCAAGTATTTAGTCTTTGTTTGAAAATTGTAATGTCGAAAAAAAAAATTTGGAAAATAAAAAATACTTAACTATTATCAAAATTTTGCAGTGTTAAAATATTTCCCATACTCCGGAATTGTTATGTTCAAAAATTTTTGGCAAATAAAAAATACGTAACTATATATATTATCAAAATTTTGCAGTGGGAAAATATTTCACATACTCCGGAATAAGATCCCAGCAATACTTGGAAATGAAGATATTTCAAGTAAAAAAGAGATTTATGACAGTAACAAAATGTTATAAAACGCCAAACGGATAAAACGGTTAAAAGCTCATTAGAGCTTATGTTGACTCTGTACACTTTGCCGACTCTAAATAAAACTTATTTATTATTTTTCTTTTATTTATTATTCAGGGCCGTCACTACATGGAGGCAAATGAGGCAAATGCCTCATGTTCGAAATTTCAAAAAAAAAAAAATTTGAAACAAAAGTTTGTCTTCATATCAAATTGTTTTCACGGCGAGTGTCTTGCAAGAAGCAACTGAGTTCTCTTCACTCTCTGATGTCGCCCCTGCATGTTTTTCGTGATCCATGTTTCTAATTTACTTTTAGTTTTCAGTGTTGATGGTCTATTGTTTGTAGTTATGTGTCTTATCTGTACCCGGGTTTGTCGTTTGTTCATTTATTGTCCTACTTTATGACTATAGTCTAAGTGTTGATTTTCTTTTGTAAATCTAGTAATTTTGTTTTAAACTTAGTTTTCTTATACTGAAGGACCTTTGTCTAATTAAAAAAACTACATTAAATTGTAAGAATATTTGAAATTAGATCTACGATGACGGGTGAACGGTTGTGTGGTTTGGCAATGTTGCATGTCCACCGATGTCCAGATATTGTGCGAGAAAATATTTAAGAAGATACGATACCACTGGACACAGAAAAAATGGTCGTTTCTTCATGGAGAATTGAACTTAATATTAAAGAATACAAAACTGGCTCTCTTTTTTGTAGATAAAACTAGATAGCTGACATGGGTTAAATTAAAGTGAGACCACCAATCTCCCGGTATCAAAACATTTGAGAAAAAAAACAACAATGTATTACCATATGACCTTTAACATTAAAGGGTTAAACTTGCATTAAGTCGTGTTCAGACCCATTAATAGAAAATAAAGGAATATGGAGTAAACGTGCACAGGACTTAATCGCACAAAAAGTCAATACATAGAAAAAATACAAATTATAAATTGTCAGGGTTTTTATTCCTGTTCTTCATCTTGATAGTCGCTGGAGGGTCTTCAACTATGAAAGAATCATTAATACCATAAAACAAGGTCAAGATGGTACCTAGTGTTGACTTAAGCGGTACTTAAAGTATAATACTGCACTGTCACTTAATTTAAATTCAGTCATAAAAAAGTCTAAACACAATACAAGACAAGAACAGACAGATCCGGTATTAATGATTATGAGAATTACGATTTTTGCTTTATCCTACATATCGGTCTTTTGATATTGTCCCTTAAACCTAAAAGTCTTAAATTACAATGAATCTATATATTTTGCTTTGAGACCAGAATATTGTCGAAAAAAATAGCTAAAAATTAATTGCGTTTCAGTGTAAGAAAGAGTCCGGGAAACGTTCAGAATGCACGATTTTGCGTCATTTTTTTTCAGAGCCTCTGGGGGCTTAGCGGCCCCCAGACCCCTCGCCGATAATTTTTATCCTCGCTTTGCTCGGCGAATATATTTTGCCTCACTTTTAAAAGAGGCTAGTTATACGGCCCTGTTATTTTATATAGCGTGCAGATGAACCCCGATGCCGTTATACTATAGCATACTATACGGGTTTTACTTGTTTTTAAAAGCCGAAAGGTGACATGCAGTTTACATCGCTATCCTTTGTTTACGGTTAAACATTGCGTCATTGGTAAAATATTTTCATATATCATACTAATACATCTAAAAGACATCTTTTGATATATTCAACCAGTATTTAAATGAAAATAGGGTGCGAACGGATCCAAGGGGCGAACGTGTAGGGTGAGAATGTGTTTTTTGGAGCGAACGCACCAGATACCGTCGTACAAGTCAATATTTGTATTTTCTTTTTTTTTTAAATGTTATGCTTTAATATATCATGTATAATTCTGTCCTTTTTATGTGAAAAATGAACAAACCACTCTGTAGTCCTGACCGTACGTATTTCCCTGTTTTGTGGCTTTTGTAGAACGTTTTGCATGGTTTGTTGACATCGGGAAAGGGTGCTTTCATACACGCCCGCGTTCCAATGTCGTCAAAACTATTTTTGAGAAAACCCCTCAAGGCGACCGTTTCCAAGGCGCTCGTCGTTAGTAACATGCGTTAAAATATGCGCACTGTTCAAGGGCCGAGCCACCTTAACCCCGCCACATTCTTTATGTGCCTGTCCCAAGTCAAGTGCCTGTAGTTCAGTGGTTGTCGTTGGTTCATGTCTGTCATATTTGTTTTTCATTAACTGTTTTGTTATAAATTTGGCCGTTAGTTTTTCAATTGAATTGTTTAATATTTTTCATGGCAATCATACCTCATATCCTTATTTTTAAACATATATTTATCATTCACCAAAAGCTTCATTTCTGCAAATTTGTTTGTTAGTTCAAGTAAACAATGACGTCAAAAGCACTGTTTTTGTCAAGGAATAGCTAATTTTACATACGTTCTAAATTGAACTGGGTGAATTGGTGGTCTGACACCTATTAACAACTTCAGACTTATCAGATAAACCTCTAATCATTTCACTAACGCTGTATATGTAACAGGAACATGCTATATCATTTTCTTCAAGAGGAGACATACAGTGTATACAATGTACCACTGACTGTTTACATCTAGTTTCGAACTAATTGAAGACTTCATTATTCTCTTATAAAACCTTGCTAGTCTCGCGAACCTTGCACGACTCTCGAAGTACAAGAGGACGCGAGTTTGTGCCCCTGTTGGTTCAAAGAAAGCCTTTAAATTTGGCATCTGCTGCTTCCCCAAAAAGCAAGCGAAATTAAGGAATTACTAGTAAAGCAAAGACTGGTGGTTCGTAGCCTGAATAATACATTCGGGTCCAAGCGAACAGTTACTTTAAAGCAGCCCGTTTAAATTCTCCCACTGAATCAGTCTACAAAGCAAAAAATGTTATCCTTCATGAACTGTCATATCAACGTATTGCAATGTACATACTTCTTTACTGGGCTTTAAAAATTACTCAGAAATAAAAAAAAATTACCAAAACTTCAAATATGATATCACGTAAGCTAAATGTAAGATTGAGTCATCTCTCATTTTCTGTAGCAGATGTATCTATTCTATGTTTCGCTTGTTGTTCAGAATATACATTTATAATTATGAGGAGCGCAAAACTATTTCAAACATTCAATTTAAGATCTTTAAAACTACAGGATAGAGAATTGTAAAAAAAAATCCCAATGACTTTTCGTTCAAGCGTTTCATGTTTATTCATATGAGACTGACTTCATACAGGAATTTCTTAGGAAGAAAGAAAAGAAGTTAGCAGTATCCTTTAATTTCACTTTCCGCTATATATAGGTTATGTTCTCTCACTAAATAATTCAAAGTTTGGTAACTCTGTTGAATGCATCTATCTCATCGAACTTGAGATACAGGATACAACGGATACAGTTAAGTCTGCCTCATATCTTGACTTACATCTAGAAATTGACAATGAGGGTAGGTTGAAAACAAAACTTTACGACAAAAGAGATGATTTCAGCTTCCCAATTGTGAACTTTCCATTTCTATGTAGCAACATTCCAGCAGCGCCTGCATACGGAGATTATATCTCCCAGTTGATACGATATTCTAGCTTGGGCTTGTGTTTCGTATTATGATTTCCTTGATAGAGTGTTGCTGCTCAAAAAGAAGCTATTAAACCAAGAGTTCCAAGTGGTGAAGTTGAAATCATCCCTTCGTAAATTTTACGGACGCCATCACGGTTGACCGTTATGGAATATCTGTTTCACAGATGAAAACGGATATGTTCCAATTGTCGTAACTACAATCTCGTCCCTTTCCCCCGAATGTGACCTACAGAATTAGACATATCACCGGATTTGTACTTACATGAGCAACATGACGGGTGCCACATGTGGAACAGTATCTGCTTATCCTTCCGGAGCACCTGAGATAACCCCCAGTGTTTGGTGGGGTTCGTGTTGCTCAGTCTTTGGTTTTCTATGTTGTTTTGTGTACTGTTGTTTATCTTTTTCTTTTTTAGCCATGGCGTTGTCAGTTTGTTTTCGACTTATGAGTTTGAATGTCCCTTTGGTATCCTTCGCCTCCCTTTTGCAAAAGTCTTTATTGAAATCGAATTATGACCATGCAAGCTCTCAGAATCGAACAATAGTTCGCACCCTAACTCGTATTCGATATATACCCCATAAACCTGGAAATTCACACTCGAACTCGAAATGAACTCGAAGTTTTAAAACTCGTATGATCATTGCTTTAACTTTAATTTGTAGTCTTCCTGGAAGACATATACTTCGAATTTTAACTCGAATCTCAACTCTTACCTAACACAAACTCTTTCTCAAAGTTTAACTCGACGATTAGTCACAGTCTTGAAAAACTAAGTAGTTTCAGACACATACAGAATAACTTGTGAACACTAGTCTAAAAGATAAAGGCATGCAGAGACATATTATATACACATACATACTATATCATATGTATGAAAATATTCTATGTGTCTATATATATGTCTCTGCTACTACTAACTGTCCTTTTTTAAATAATCCACGCCCACTGACCGTATATTAAATATACACGGTTTCACTGTTCGCCTTCAACCAATGATATTCCTAAAAGTTTAAAGGAGGTAAGAGAAAGTAATAAACACATACGGTCCTACATCCTGTCGATATTTTTAGTTGGCTTTGCACAAGGTTATGGTTTATGACATCTTTACACTAGAGCCATTTAATGTGTACTGATTGGTATTTTAGTCTGGAACACATTATTTATTCATTAGTTGTTATTGGCTTTGAACTAGCTATCAATAACTGCGAGTACTCTTACATCTGTATTTTGTGTCTTTCGTCTTTATAAGTCCTCTTCAATCGATTTTTACTGTTTATTCTTATGTTGTACTGTTACACCATTATTCGAGGCCAGGGAAACCTCAAGATTGAACTCTCGCATATTTTCTATCCTGCAACATTTTGTGTGTGCTTGTAATTCAATGGTTCTCTTTTTTTTGCTGTCTTTCGTATTTGTTTTCGTTTATTGTTTTGTACATCAATCCGATCGGTTATTGTTGAAGGTTGAATGCGACATATAGTTGCTTATAGGTGAGGAAAGTTGTCGCAGTGACAATCATACCACATCTCATCATCTATATATATGAGTCACTCCTTGAGAAAAGGTACAAAAAGTGTTTTGGTAAACTTTAGGAGACACATTTTTAAAGTTCGTTAAAATTATTTTTGATGATCGATTTTATCCGGTAAAAATTGCTGTTACCATAAAGATTCATAAAATGGTCAATTATGTCCCTAATTTGTGCATAAACATAAATTATTAAATTGAACTAGACAATTTTATACTATCTGATCCGAAATTAAACCCTTTATGACACTATAGAGGGAAATTAAGGGAAAATTAAAAAATCTTCATGTCTTGAATTTTAAAATTTTGAATTCAAGTTAAGTTGTTAAATACCATATATTTATCAACTATCATATAGACGTGATTAGAATCGTTTCCCCGTTAAATTGCATTGATTTCTGCTTTGTAAGCGATAGCCTTATCATCTCTAGAAAAGCATACATAATCAAGTTAACACACTTAAACTATACATGGACAAATGAATATCGAATTTGAATGTAAATCTTGAATGGTTATCTTATTGGCAATCCTACCAAATCTTCTTACTTTTATAACGTGATTTATCAACATGTTTTCCATGATTAAAAAAAAACAACCACCTTGAACGTAAGCGTTCCATTGCATCATGCAATCGGTATCAACATTTTGTATCACTTACACTCTGTCCGAGCCGCAGCTACAATTCACTCAGTGTTTCGATCGTGCAGCATTTAATTAATACACTTGAATTGTAAATGTTTAACTAAAGAATTTCACAACTGAAGTTTAAAGCCAATGTCACAACTTCCTAATTCAAAGCTGATCTTAGACGATTTTGTCTGTGCCTGTTAGACAAGTTGGTCTTTTGGAATCTAAACGGTTTATTTATTTGACGTCCCAGATTTTGTTTGATCATGAGCGTCCCTGGGGAAAGTTATTTTCAGAAATATATATGTGTCGTGTCTACAGAATCTATATAACACGTTTACATTTTGTGAAATGCAAGCCAACAACAATGTTACCTCGGACATCGCAGTGTCGAGAAACCTGAATTTTTCTATCAAGTCTATTCTACATTAGGCCATTAACCTTATATAGGTTTGCTTCTGCATTAATAAAGAAATATTATAAATTAAAAAAAGTCTTAAAACAGTAATATTTATTGAATGGTAGTTTTCGTAAAGCCATAGTTACGAACAATGAAAAGTACGTATGATGTCTGATACAAAATTGGAACTACAGGAACCCGGATTCCTAGGTTGTATTTCAAGGCCTACTTATGTACGACACTAGATAATCTGAATACTGTTCCAGGGGTAACGAAATCTCTTGTTTGCAAGATGCTTATAAGGTTAGAATAGAATAGAATAAAAAGAATATACTCTATTCCAAATTAGTGAACCCACAAGAAGCAACATGAGATTATAATAATAACAAATACAAAAGAACAATATTGAGGGAAAGAATTATTAATTGATAGAATATAAATTGTCAAAAAAAAACTCTGTTTATTATTATCATTCTTGTGTTTTCTTAATCATCATTTTTGTAGATTTCATCGATTCTTTGTTTTTCCATGATCTCCAAAGTATCTGCCCATTGTTTCTGTATCCATACATGCCATTTAAGTTAGACCTGATGCAATGCTTGTACCACCATGCTCCTATTCTATGATCAGCACAGTTTACACGCTTCCATAGATCGTTGTCTTTATCTGTGGTAGTAAACATCATATTGTTGTGGAGAATAAGGCTGTCTCCTAAGTCAGAAAAAAGTAGTAAAAAGTATATATATATATAAATATAATATAAAACGCATTTGACTAGCAGGTCGAACAACGGATGTTCTTAAACCCTGCTGACTGCCATGGCGATTGCCAAATAAACGGATCACCAGATGTAACAAAATGGATCTTAATTATTAGTTTAATACCAAACAGAAAACAATAAACTTGCGGAAAAGATGGTATACCGCAAACTTGAGGTGCAAAAATTGGTACACCATATCCGGATTTCGACAATTAATGTCTCTTCAGTGATGTTAGGAATCGAAACGGTATTTGGAAGGCCATATAATTTACCTCAATTTAGGATAGACTCTTGAATTTTGAAGATTCGAAATAGGGTGGACGGATTACATAAACCCGAAGGCAAATATAATACAAGCCCAAACGAAAAAATATTAACAAGTCTAAATTGAAAACAACGTTCAAACCTATCATCAGGGGCGTTTCCAGGACATTTGAAAGAGGGGGCGTAGAATACAATCTGTCGCCGAGCGGAGCGAGGCGAAAAATTTATTTGGACCTTTTTTTGGCTAAAAAACATAAAATAATTGTGAAATGCACTAATATAACGGTTCTTTGACTTGGAGCATGTATATTTTATAGTTAAAGTGTCAGGGTTTGATATTTTTTATGCCAAATTCTCTCCATTAATTTTCTATGGTATATTAAAATGATTGGATGGATCTTAACAGCAGTAGACCAATAACGAGAAATTCCAAATTCTAGGGTATAGGGCGTTACTTTACATTTCAATAGTCCTAGGCCAGGATTTTATGAACGGGAGGCGTAATTCCGGTTGCCCTGGTATAGGGTCCAGGGGGAAGGTCAGAAGCTCCTGGATTTCAACAATTTAGCATCAAATTATGAAGTATTATAACAGACTCCATGATAGACAAATTGGTGAAAATAGTCTGCCTTCGAATCATTCAAATTATGTATTGATTAACATGTGGATATCAAATCTTTGGAAGAAGTTATGAATTCAGTTAAAAGGTTATATGAAATGGGCATGAAAAATGAAAAATAAATCATTAACGATAGCTTTTCTGTACTTTTGATATATATATATACCCGTTTTGTTAAAATATACCTTTTCACTGTTTTGGTCTTTTGGAAAATGTTGTTTGTGCTGTATTTAGACCCCTTTACCAAGAAATTTGTTTTGCATGCACACGTATAAAAATTGCGGTTTTTATCCAACGCAATCACAGGTTTGAACGTTGTTTTCAATTTAGTAGATATACAAAGATGTGGTATGAGTGCCAATGAGACAACTCTCCATCCAAGTCACAATTTATAAAAGTAAACCATTATAGGTCAAAGTACGGTCTTCAACACGGAGCCTTGGCTCACACCGAACAGCAAGCTATAAAGGGCCCCAAACATTACTAGTGTTAAACCATTCAAACCGGAAAACCAACGGTCTAATCTATATAAGAAACACTTATGAACCACATCAACAAACGACAACTACTAAACATCAGATTCCTGACTTAGGACAGGTGCAACCAGTTGCAGCGGGTTTAAATGTTTTAATGGTACCAAACATTCACCCTTATCTGAAACAATAGTGTAACATTGTATTTATAATACCCCGTTCTAGATAGTCAAATCTGACCCCTTCCAATGCAAGGCGAAAAAAACATAACCCCATTTCAGACAATTTAGCTGAAAATGCAACCCCGTTTGTCGGAACATACCCGGTATCATATATATAGCGAGTATCCCCCGGGTAGATGTAGAATGGCCATTGGGGAAGTGTCACACAAAACAACCATTTCATGTATAGATTTACTTACCGCTTTGGTTGTTTAAAAAAGGTGTCCAAGTCACCCATCGGATGGGGGAATCAGTATAAAAGAAATCAGAATATGTGTTTAATTAATGAATATGATAAATTGCCATATTCAATACAATATAAGCAGATAACGATAGTTTTTCATTTATTTTTTTGAAAGGGGGGGGGGGGGCGTACGCCCATAAAGCCCTTACCTGGACCCGCCCCTGATGATTGCGTTGGATATAACCGCAATTTTTATACGTGTGCATGCAAAACAAATTTCTTGGTAGAGGGGTCTAAATACAGCACAAACAACATTTTCCAAAAGACCATAAAGGTCTGTTGTTCGACCTGATAGTCAAATGCGTTTTGTTAAAATATACTTTTTCACTTTTTTGGTCTTTTGGAAAATGTTGTTTGTGCTGTATTTAGACCCCTCTACCAAGAAATTTGTTGTGCATGCACACGTATAAAAATTACGGTTTTTATCCAACGCAATGATAGGTTTGAACGTTGTTTTCAATTTAGACTTGTTTATAAATATAATATAGTTCTATTCTGTCTATTTCCTTTTGTGTTCTGAATTGAGATAAAAGTTAAAAAAGCGATATCCAAAATGACTTTTTGGTTACAATTTTCGTCAATATGACTATGTATTGCTTATGATAATGAAATGTCTACATATAGTTTACAAGAATTCTAGAGTTGCTGTCTCACCTACATATAGTCATATATCTCTCAAATTAAACGTGAACAGTGCAAAATAAATATATTTTCAATGTCCAAATGCACTTTGAGTGGTGAAATAATAAAAAAAAACATTACATTGTAATATGCTACTAAATATTTTGAGGAGGAAAAAATGTTAAATATAAAATGTGCATATGTCCGATATAGCACTGATAAGAGGGGGGCAAGGGGGGTTCCAATAACAGCAAAACAGTAAATTGATTTGAATTAAAACAGATAGCAAGGAATTGAAAAGGGATAAAAACAGATAACAGTAAATGAAATATTTAAATCAGTCCAGTCCAGGACCAATACAGTAGATTTTATTATATAACTGGTTGTATGGACCTAGCTAGGCCTTAATAGAGACATATATATACATTTTCATTATGATCCTCATCGGGTATTATCCTTGGCCATATGTTTTCCTTTTGGTTATATTAATAATTGATTTGAATTAAATATATATGTACGCATGGGGATACAAGGAACATTATCCCCATATATACGTAAAATTCAAATTCGAACAATTCTTAATATCACAAAAAAGGAAAACATATAACAGAAACAACTTTTATATATGTTGTGTACAAGTTTTAATTTTGTACAAATTGTTATTTGTACAAAACATGTGTACAAATTGTTATTTGTACAAAAAATGTGTACAAAGTCAAAATACAAATTATAATTTGTACGAAAAATGTGTACAAAGTCAAAATACAAATTATAATGTGTACACATTTTTTGTACAAAATGATACATCCAAAAACATGTTCACAGACAATGGAATTTATACAATACTATTCTGGAATGGTCCTGGACCCGACTGATTTTAATATGTTTATGTGATATATGTTACAAGAATCCTTCTGCAAATACGTGACCACCATATCATCAGTGGAAAGACCCCAATAGATATAAGAAGATGTGGTATGAGTGCCAATGAGACAACTCTCCATCCAAGTCACAATGTTCAATTATCTTCAATTTCTTCTTAAGATTGGCTGTCAAAATGCTAACATTCCAATTTTCAATATATATAACAGTTAATGTTGATTCATGGTATACCGCCATCTTGGATTGTACAATCCCAGTACAAAATTGGTCTAGTTATTTGCTCAATTCTGCAAATTTGGAGACATATTTGCAATTTATTGGTTAGACTGTTTATTAATATAAAGAAAACTAGGTGATTTATTGTACTATACAAAATATGTAAACAAATATCAAATTTTGTGTTTTTAGAATCAATTTTTTAAAATAAGCCATTTATGGGGAGATAACTCTTTTAGTAAAAAAATATATACTGGACTGATAGGGAAATTTTTAATTTTTACTTGTAGCAAGAAAACAAGTTCGGTGACACCATTTTTTCTTTTTATTTTCTTAAAACATTTTATAAAACCTATCTTCTCACAATTTATTTCAAAATTCTATCTCATAGATTTCTTTTTATGCACACAAATGTGTTTTTCATGAACAATCTAACCAAATTAAGGCAATTTTCAACGACTCATAGCTTGGAAAATAGCACGGTGACCCATACTTTTTATTATATTTTTAAAAAAAGCATAGTAAAATCTTCATTTTGGCAAAGTATAAGAAAATTCTGTCTAAAAAAATATATACTTATGATCTACCTTAACAGCAAATACATTATCACAATAACAGATAACAAAAAAAAAATAATAGTCCTATAACAGCTAACAAGGAATAAGACAGCAAATATATTTTCAGAATAACAGATAACAAAAAAATAAATTGCCCCAAAACAGCATAACAGTTAAACCCCTTACCCCCCTCTGATAAATGTAACAAATCATAAAGGCAAAAGACATTTTGTTTACGACTTGGTTGCCAGAAATTCTTCCACGATGAGTCATTTGGATTTGCGCTTGTTAAAAAAGATATAAGAATATGATTAATGACAATAATATAAGTTTGACTACTTTATTAACAATTTTGACATTATCACATGTTATAGGTCTTCTAGCTCGTTTTGTTTTCTCATTTCAACATTCAAACTTCTTTGTAAAGTAGATAACGAGACATACCTGCATTTCCAGTGTATCCACTGATGTGTAATATAAAGTTTGACTGGGAGTCCTCGACCTTAAACGTACTGTACTGTGCATATCTTGTCTTTCCATCAAAGTCTTCCAAATGTATGAACAGCTCGTAATTTCCAGACGATGTAATAGTATGTATATTCTGGTTTCCTGTTGAGAATTAATTAAAATCAAAGTCCTTCCAATATTGGAACAAACCCGTATGTTATGGGTTCCGGTGAACACTCTTAGGTCATGGAATAGTTCTAGTGTGTTTTGCTTCGTGTTGTTTATTTTTTCCAGATATTTTATAACAGTATTCATTATATGATGTATCCAACAAACTGAATTAAGAATGTAAGGACTATACATCCATTTTACCTAACAGCAGGCTTCTTTCGGAGTCTTTTACATATTACTATGCGGTATGGGTATTGCTCATTGTTGAAGGCCGTACGGTGACCTATAGTTGTTAACTTCTACGGCATGTGGTCTCTGGTGGAGAGCTGTCTCATTGGCAATAATACCACATCTTCGTATTTTATATATTGTGATTTTTATCTGAATACCAAGGCATATTGAACAAAACGAGTAATTTGCATTGCTTTATAATTTTACTTGATTATGTGGAATTTGATGCGATGTATTTTTTGCTTATTTGAGAAATAATAATAATCTGCTGTTCAGTAAATGGTAAAACCAGTTTTATGCATTCTTGAGTTTCTTTTTCATATCCGTAATCCGTAGTAGTAAAATGTATCCATAAAACAAGAAAAGACCTAGCTACAAAACTTACATTTGAAACAAAATAACTCTTTATCTGCCTTTCATAAACTCGGTTTGGCAAATTATTAAGGCGAAGTCTTTCATTTTATGTTCTGGTTTTCCCATAGTAATAAAATCACTTATTGAAAAAAATATTTAGAAAAAGATGTAGAACAAAAACTTATCATTTGTCTTCAATCATTTCAGTAACGTTTCTTCTGTAACTTTAACGAATTATAACTAACATACCTAACCAATATTCACTGTCAAGTCTGCCAAATCCCTGTTCATAATCAGACCATCCTCTATAGAAATCTGTAGATCCATCGATTCTTCTCTGAATGACCTACAGGTAGATATACTATATACGTATTGTGTTATACATACATGTATCTTAATTTGAAAGTTTGAAACTTGTCTTTCTATGTAAATTTAATATTAATATTTTATATAACTGATTGGTTAAACTATTTAGAGACTTACATATCGCAAACAGTTTAAATATTGATCCAAGTAATCCCTCTTTTGCTGTCGATGTAGTGTGTTTCGGTACGTCACCACAGACTTCAATTCAGTTGAATTGTGCCTACGATTTTTCACTTAAATGGAGATTTGATTAACTGAATTTACTAGTGATAATTTCATATACAGACTGTTTTCAAATTCAGACGAGAACATTCCACGTTTTCGGCTTGGCAATCAGGAAGATCTCTGGGATCATTTTAACACCAGATCATTGTTTGGAAGTCCTTAACGGAGGATTTTTCTTTCTAAAAAACTGCAGACTCTAAACACCTTCCAAAATATTTAGTGACATTTCTCAAAACTTTATAATTGTACATAATATCTATGCCTGTTGTCTTTTTTTAATTCTTATTGGAGGAAAATACAGTATGACGATGATAAAAATCGTAGAAATCTTTTACTAAGCGTGTATTGTGTATGCTTCCAATATATTATGGCATTGGAGTTATATTATACAATGTGTCGGTATTGATAGTGACCAAAGAAAATATTTGTCAAAGAATATAATTTCTTCACAAAAAACAACAAATCTTTTGGAGAGATACTACATAATCATATGATGTTTTGTTTTGTGTACCTCTGTGGTTTCTATATATGATTTCCATGTTTCATCCCGTATTTGTTACATGCATAACAGCAATTAGATAGCTTTCAAAATAAATTCTCATGAAAACCGGAAGAAGAGTGATGGTTACTACACAATTTAAGTATAAGATTGTTAGAAAACGAAGGCATCTTAATGTTGTAAAAAGCCTCACAGTTTTTAATGTTTAAACCTTTTAAAAAATGCAGATATGAATTTTTCAATCCAGTTTATGATTTTGGTATGGTAATTCATAGTAAATTGGCACAGTTGTAGTCCTAAGAGGAGTTTCTATTAGAAATTGTCCTGTTTATTTTACACAAGTGCAATCTAAAGACGATGTACTAGATTGACAAAAGCAATTGTTATCGGTTGTATTTATCTGCATATAAGTTCTTGAGTTCATTGATTTTTTTGGCATGCATTAAACGTTATCAAACCCTTACGTAAATGGATCTTCGGGCCACACTTTTATAATACCTTTAAGATTTTAAACGAAATAGTACATCGAGGTAAACATTCGTTAGATCCAACCAAACCCAATTGCTATGCAATTTACAAATAATGTATACTCAGATATTCAATTTCCAAATGATATGTAAATGTATAACCACACTTATAAAGGAAAATTATTGAGAATCACATAAGTTTTGCATGATGTATGAATCGATTTGTTCTTAAAAAACATAGAAAAGGAAAAAAAGATTTCAATTACAATTTATAATGTAAAATTATGAAAAAGGAAGAATTTGAAAGTTACATACATAATGGTGCATTTTAATCATACCAGAACTTATTACAATTCCAGCGGCGGAACCTACCAAATGGTAGTAAGACACTATCAACAGCGACGTACGTCGACCAACAAGAAACAGAGGGGCAGAAAAGGAGTGATTCAAATAAATGCAATACATACATTTCCGATATGTCGTTGGTTAAAAATATAACATTCAAATAATATATTGTTATAATTTACTTTGGTATATTATTAATGACATCTCTAAACCAAAACATGACTATCATTTAACTTGACTGAAAATTAGTGATCATAAAAGTTTATTTTCAGAACTATAGTTTGAAAACAAATTTTTTATATGACAACGTTGCTACCTATTATGTAGGTACTCCGATATATATTCCGACTTTAAACGTAATGTCACTATTTAGTTCAACCTCCATTTGAAATCGTGTTCGTCTGGCACGCTTTAAAGACTATTATTAATTATTTTGTAAGATTAACTCATGATGATGAAAATGATTTATACACACAGTCCAACTTCCGCCAGCTGTTTCCATGTCACAGTAAACATCCAGATGACTGGTGGCTGTCGGGTAAATTTTGTATACTGCTGATGGACACTGTACTGGTATGTCACCACAATCATGTGGACGAAGTGCTAAAATGATATAAAACACCAATAAACGAGATGATATTTTACCAATCTGAATCACATCGTACCTGTTTCATAGATGACGATGGATATGTTCCAATTGTCGTAACCACAATCCTGTATCTTTCCCCCGAATGTGACCTACCGAACTAAACTTATCACCGGGTCTGTAATTACATGAGCAACACAACGGTTATTGTGTTTTGTGTACTGTTGTTTGTTTCTTGGTCTTTTTCGTTTTTTTGCCATGTCGTTGTCAGTTTATTTTTGACTTGAGTATCTTTGGTATCTTTCGCCTCTCTTTTATATCTTAGAATAATTATAAACCTAAGTGTTCTAAGGTAGAACTGTCAGAGTAAGTTCTAGTGTAGAACTGTCAGGATTAGTCTTTGGGTAGAACTGTCCAAATCTGTTTTAGGGTAAAACTGTCAGAATCCGGCGCGGTTCTATGGTAGAACATTTCAAAAAGAAATTAGAGCAGCTTTCTGTTGATGATTTGAAAAAGAGAATGGTAGTTTGATTTTCCTTGTAAGTCATTTTTAGAAAAAAAGGGATTAAAACGTACAAATAATTACATTCATGGGTGAATATTTTAGTAATTTCTCCCTGTTTACACATGTACGGTAGATCTGTCTGAATCTATTTTAGGATACAACTGTCTAAACTATAAAACCGCTTCTGTCAGACACTTCTCTGAAGGTGTCAGGAGACATGCCATTATAGAACAGTTCTCTTGACAAATTTGAAGAGAGGTTAGAACTGTAAAATGAAACCTATACAGCTAGAGGATACTTACATTTTTTTATGCAACAAAACAATTGTTTCCATTCTCCATTTTCACTACATACTTGGAATGGACGTCCTTTTATCGTGAATCCGTTGTTACATTTAAATTGTATTCCAGTTCCAAGATTTCGATACAATCCAAAAGTTTCAATGCAGGTAGCATTTGGTGTCGTCGGCGCAGGACTTTCACAATCTTATTAAAAATCATACAATATTATAAGTTTGTGTTTTTTTTTAAAATGACTATTGATCGTTACTGGTCAGGATTATCGTCAATAAAAGCAGTAAAATTTACCAATAAGTTTTGTTAAAATGCGAATGAAATTGGTGAAAAATTGATTAAATAGAAGGAAACTTATACTATTCACTTGCATTTTTACTACTGAAGCTAAACAAAATATTAAGAATAAAACAAGATTTAAAGAATAAAACGATTTCGCCCATTAAGTTATCTCCAATATTATAGTTATTTCTTACAGACAGGGATACAACCGAGTCCACCATTTGGCTGCTTCTCACATTTCTGTCCTGGTTTACATGTGTTTTTTGAACATCCTCCGGCAAGGGACTTAATAAAAGTACAAAAAAATGGGTTAATATAACAAACAACACAAATAAAAAGTCCAAATCATTTTGTTGATATTATATGTAATAGATATCTTGGAAAATGCAAAGAAATAACAATTGGTTTTCTTTGACGAACACCTCTTTAATTCATATATAAAGATTTATCTACATTCTTTTCTTTTGCTTCTGAAACATAAATCATTTTAATTGATTTAATTATTAAATTGAGCAATTCCCCACCTATTTGTGTTGTAAGAAGAACTTTTGTTTACATCTAACATAAGGAAATTGTTTTTTTTTGTATTAAATCTGGTGGAAAATATTCCATGTTTTTATGTATTTTAAGACATGGAAAAATTTGATAATACGTTTGCAACTGTTCTTTCATCAAGCACCGATCAACAAACCAATACTAGGTTAGTTAGAAAGGTTCTGTGCGAAGTTGTCCAGTTAGTTGGAATTACACTGTTAAAGAGGGTCTGTTGCATAGGGACGCTCTTATTCTATGACCAAACTGAATATGATAACAATGTAAGGAACCCTTCATCATTAACCTAATCCCCTTGCTTGTTTATAATTAAGTTAGAATGAAATCCAACGGCTTTAAGCTAACATATATCGAATCATTAAAGGAACCTGATGTTCAGTAGTTGTCGTTTGTTGATGTGGTTCATAAGTGTTTCTCGGTTCTCGTTTTTTATATAGATTAGACCGTTGGTTTTCCCGTTTGAATGGTTTTACACTAGTAATTTTTGGGGCCCTTTATAGCTTACTGTTCGGTGTGAGCCAAGGCTCCGTGTTGAAGACCGTACTTTGACCTATAATGGTTTACTTTTATATATTTTGACTTGGATGGAGAGTTGTCTCATTGGCACTCAAACCACATCTTCTTATATCTATATACAAATTTATGATAGGAAATAAATGAAATAAACACTTGATAAATTTCGTGCGTCCGAGACGCTTTTCTGGATTTACGTATTAGAGAATTTATAATAAGAAGTGGATTCGTAAACGATAATCAACGCTCAACGTTAGTTTCTAATCTACTTCTTCTTATAAGTTCTCTAGCTTAATTCATTTCTGGTAAAACGACTATATATTTTACGTCTTGACCATAAATCAAGAAATTACATAAAGTTTATTTCATACTTTGTCTTTCTGATTCTTTAAAAATCGTAAATGATTGTATCTATACGATTCAATGCTGTTTTATGCATCCAACAAGTTCACAAAAATTTAATATGTATTACATCTAGTACATGTTGTTTCTGCAATTGTTCAGAGAGTATATTCAATCATAGCTGTTAGATGTTTTGTGCAACCAAAATTAAGACAATTATTAGCTCATTATATACAACCAAAATTAATTATTTGAACGCGATGAATCAATTGTGCATTAGTTTTGGATGTATAGTTTTCATTTTTATTCAACCCACCGACAGCCGTGGTCGTATAGTCGTTGATCACAAAAGTCAGAACGGTAAATATCAACGACATAAAGTTCAAATCTTTGTACCCTGAATGAAAATGTGTTTTTTCCCACGAGCAAAATATTGTTAAAATCACAGAAAATACTATATATATTTTATTTTCATATGTTGGTGATATTTTTTATCCTTTTGACTGTCAAATTTGTAGTTTTACTTAGGGAACAGTTTAAGTAAGTTTTTGCTATTATATTAGAATTTATTTAATATAGAGTCAGTTTAATGTTGACGTGATGTTTATTTGGACCAGTTATGATCAAACAGGGAAAAACTTGATGAAAACAATATAAAACTAAAATCATAAGTACATGTGTCCCACGGTAGAAACGAAAATCAGAAGTCCTTGATCGTAACACAAGACAATTGCCGTTGATATATGGATGTTAATTTCACAGTTTAAAAAAAAACTATGGTTCTATAGCCGCAATTGTATTACGGTGCGGTTAAAAAAACCGTGTTCAACCAAAAAACCGCATCAATTGTTACTATATTGTATTTAATATAATTTAATGGTTTGTGTCTGTACTTGATTTTACCTTGCAGCAATTTTATTCTAGTGCTACTAATGCGTCTTCTGTAGACGAATGCTCGCCCGGCGTACCAACAAAAAGCCTGGTTTCGTAGATGATTTTTTTTTGTCTTTTTAAAACATATTCTCAACTTTTGTTTGACAAATGCTTCTACGATTTTGACATACTGTATATTTCTGTGTCTATTGTTGAAGACCGTATGACGACTTAAAGATTTCTTATGATTTTCTGTTTTATATATTTCTTTTTAATTATTTTGGTGTTCCATTGACTTATAAAATAGTTCTCCTTTGATTCATTTAATGATTCATTATTTGGTATTTAACGCCATTTTCAGCACTATTGACAGCCAGTGTTTATTGTTAGGGGAAGTTAGAGTGCAAGGAGAAAACCACTGACCTTTGGCAGGAAAACCGGCAATCCTAGTTAATTAATATTGGAGTCGAACTCACAACCTAAGTGTTGACAGGCATGTGATACAGTAGATATACTACTAAAACCACTCGGCAACCAATCCCCCTAGTTCTCCTTTGAATCGAATAAAAAAAAATACATAGTAAAGAAAATACAATTGAAACCAGTGGACTGCAGGTTTGTATTCTACCTTAGTATCACTCTGTACAATATACGAGTTCTTGAAAAATAGTTTTGACTAAATCTACTATGTTATAAGATATCTAATACAAGGCTAACATAAAGTAGATATAATACCGTAAACTAGCTACAGTACCATCTCAAAGCTTTTAAAACAAAATATGATATGATTCCGATGCATGGTTATGCTATTTCTTTGCAACCTAGTAGCTAAGATGTACATACCTTTGGCCAGCTTGCTATTTTAGTATAAATACTACCAGATTCATTTTGAAGATTTTCTCCATCGGGTAACTTGTCAAGTATGTCACAGAGCTTCCAATTCTTTCTGTAGTTTATTGCGATACACTGCGACGTCATGAAGCATTCTTTGACACATTGGAGCATACTCATACGTTGCAGACGTCGTAGAATATTAATGTTCTGACTTTTATTGTGCTGCAAGTGCCCAATACCATCAATATCATCAGGATGTTGACACTCGTAGTCGTCTTTTTCACACACGTCTTCTAAAAGTGAACTACATTGTTGGAACAAAAGTAACGAAAGTAGTATACTTCGTAACGATTTGTCCCTATTCATCTCTAATTCGCGAAGACAATCATTTATTTAAACATATTTTCTAACTGCTTAAATAGGCAACATGTTTGTAGATTCATACGATCAGCTCCCTATATATTATACTGAATCTAATATATCTCTTTTATTGATTTGCAGTTTTGAATTTTTTATTAGCTTTCCCTCTCCTATCTATCTAAATATCTCATCAGGCACAGAATTTCATTGTTATAAACATGTTTGAAAATATATACATCAAGATAAATTATTAATATCAGTAAGTAAACAAAGGGGCATCATATCGCATCCATTGTTCGTTTATAAAACATTTGAATGAGTATGATTTTGACAAAAAGGGATGGTCTTTAGACATGATTACATCATTGCATTTGGTCATCCATTTTTCAATGCATTTCAAATAAATCTTCTCATAACCATTCCAAACGGTATTATTGCGTTTTGTTAAAACCATCAATCACATGCAATATTAAACTTCAAACCTTCATTTTCATTACAGATAAGTTGTTTTGTCCTGATAATATTTATGTGTGATGTCAAACCTTCACTTAATTATTCCCACCGGTTCTGTGGCGATTTGTAAAAACCATCAATAACTAATACATACAATATCAAACTTCAAATCTTTTGTTTTTCCTTTCATATTAGTTGTTTTGTCATGATAGTATTTATGTTTTATTCACCAACTTTATTCCACATCGACGTTTCCCATGACGAGAAGTAATTTAAAACAAACCGCATAATGTGCATCAGTACCATGTAAAATATGTTTTGTTAGTCTTGTATTATTTTTAATTTTAGTTTCTTGTGTACAATTTGGAGTTTAGTATGACGTCCATTATCACTGAACTAGTATATATATTTGTTTAGGGGCCAGCTGAAGGACGCCTCCGGGTGCGGGAATTTCTCGCTGCATTGAAGACCTGTTGGTGACCTTCTGCTGTTGTCTGTTCTATGGTCGGGTTGTTGTCTCTTTGACACATTCCCCATTTCCATTCTCAATTTTATTTGGTATTATATTTTTAGTCATATACAAGTCCTCATGATGATTCAGTTATGTCTCTATTCTTATGTAACAACATTTCAGGACCACCTGTATCTTTTCCAGGTGATACAATAATCCAGGGATTGCGTTTCGATTCAATCAAGATAATCTTGATTAAAGGTTGATGGTTGTACGGAAGAGGTTGAACCCCGAAAGAAGATAAAAGGTGATACCAAGTAAAGAGAAAACATTTAGTTGAAAACAACCCATACAACACAATTTACTCAAAAGACAAAATAATAAAACAAGACGAAATAGCTTCAAAACATTAAACAAAATACAAAGAATCAGAAAAATGAATCCTATCAAAACACCAAACACCGGCAGGGTTAGATGCCCCAAAGAAGCGGTTTACCATTATCAATAACGGAAGATCTGTGTATATGTCACAGATGATAACTGATATGAACCTTTTGTTGACGTTTCTATAATTTCCCATTAATGAAATCATTTTTACTAGTCATGAAAACATAACAGTGTCTCCTTTTTATACGATAACAAATTTCTAGTACATGACTGCAATTGCCTTTGTTTTGTTTAAGATTGTTTATCTTTTCGCCTTCGTGAATTATTATGTTTCCCTTTCTGCACCTTTCGTTGTAAATTGTTTGTTGAGAATAAAGTATCTATTTATCTTTCTTCTTTTGGTCATTGTAATTACAATTACATTATAATTACCACAACTTTGATTCGGTATTATCTTACTGCTTTGAGATATCATTAGTAAATTAGCGAATAGTATTCATTAGTTGTCAATGATTTCAGTGCCAGTGTAAGAATCAGGCAATTTAGAAGAATTTGAAACCATGGCAAAAAACAAAAAAAAACCCGCCGACCTAACCATCCTAAATGAGTTAGGAATGATATGTCTTTCATTTCTGCGGGTCTGATAATTCAAGAAATCTCTAGATAATTTTTGATTAGAATGATAGCAAATTACGTGGTTAGCTCCAATTAATTGTTAATTTCTAGTGCATTTCAACCAAATTATATCTTGAAATACCAGAACAGGAAAAGGATGTGCACCATTATACATTTTGAACTTAAATTTATGTAAATTTGAGTGGGTTTTTGTTTGTCATGTTTTCCCCACTGCCTTATTCGTAGGCAGATTGGCACTTAATACGCCCTTTAAAAATATATTTACAGTCACTGGATTGTAAGTGTTCCATCCCACCAATTGCATTTCATTCGAAATTCTGACCAAATCGCAATTTGTTTGATCAAATAAAACCGTCCAATTGGTCGGAAATTTGGACCAACTGCTGTAAAAGAACCATAGACAGGTCATCAAAGTTCAAATTGATTAAATAAAGCATTCTTATAATCAATCATAAAAGACTCGAACAAAATAATTAAACGTCAGTAATGATACAACTAAAACGATACCAAAAAGGAAAAATAAGATGAAGGTCGCAAAGATCAAACGAAATATTAGGAAAAGAGACACAATTGTCTGTAAAACTATAAATATTAAAGTATTGATTCAACCAATACATTTTTGACTCAGTTGTTTTGAAACCTACACCAGGTCATTTGAGATTCGATGCTTCAGTAAGATATCTAAAATCAATATTAAAAGGACAATACATAAACTATAAACTACGCAAAATAAACGCCACATGTGAAGTTTAATATCAAACAAATAACTGTTTCTAAACTGTAATAATTGTTTAAAAACTTCCATGGTCAGAATGTTATTACAACCTATTAAAGTTCCCTTTTTATCCCATCAACCAATGAAATAACATTATTTCCATCTTACGGACAATCGAAATAACCGCAGTCGTTCAGATTCCTAACCTGCAACTTTGTCATTTTGGGAGTTTGAAGTGATTTGACATTAGTTTCTGTTAAATATATTCTCAACTATTCTTACTAAGAAAATAAAAACATTAACAAAAATACCGAACGCCAAGGTAAATTAAAAAGGGACAGTCCATAAAAACTAACAAAACCAATTGATCGACCCGACGATGGAACGATATAGAGCTCAACATATTGCATGGATATTTTTTTATTGTTTAAGACCAGATGTTGACCACCACATTTATTTTTTGTTGTTTTGTGTATGTGCACGTGTCATTAGGTTACTACTTTATTAACGTATACCACATATTTCCTTCTACTCATATTTATAACAGAGGTTTTGCCTAAAAACACATCTTAAACTTCAAAACATAGGAAAAATAACAAGGTTAATAGATAATAGATTTATTCTGCACCTAAGTAAGTGTAAAAACCAAGTCTTTTATCAGATAAATTGTTCCGATTGTTATACTTTTTCAAGTTGCAAGTCCTTATGAAAACTTCCTGTGATTACCTTCGCTGTCATGAGCAAACTTGAGAGAATTACAAGTAACATGTATCAATCAAACGGCATGCCCGATTAAAAAAATGGCCACTGGTCCAGACTACTATCACGTTGTTGACCGTTAAGATGTCACCGACCTCATATAGCTGTTCATGCCTTTGATATGAAAGATAAGATTTTTTCTAAATCTTAAGTTAATAATTCCAGTTGAAATTCAAAAATGTATATCATTTTGCTGATAGCTTTTACCTCGTGTAAACTATATTTGCGACTTAAAAATACATTTTGTTGTGTTTTTTTTTTCCGTTTAAGACATCTGATAGAAAAGAAAGGATATACTGTATCCATTCATGACACAAAATAAGTATATGGTATTGATAGTAAAGAGAATGTGATGTGCAAACGTAACACTGATTTTACCCCCACATCATGGTGTGCCTATACCTAGTCAGGCTTCGTTGTATTTTTTTTTGTTTGTGCGCTTATTAGCTCCGCGAAGACATTTGTCCCCTTCTTCCCGAATGTGACCTACCGAATTATACTTATCACCGGGTTTGTACTAACATGAGCAACACGACGGGTGCAACATGTGAAGCAGGATCTGCTTAAGCTTCCGGAGCACCTGAGATCACCCCCTGTTTTTGGTTTTCTGTATTGAGTTTTGTGTACTATTGTTTGTCTGTCTGTCTTTTTATTTTTTAGCCATGACGTTGTCAGTTTATTTTCGACTTATGAGTTTGAATGTCCCTTTTTTATCCTTCGCCTATCTTTTGCTGGTGGTAGATATGGTCTGTTCTACTTTGGTGTTTATTCCTTTTTCTATTTTATGAATTATTTAGAATTAAGCCCGGACTTCGTAGAATGGTATTCAGAATTGAAATAAAATAGTTTCTCCTTCGGATTTTTACCCTTTACCCTTCTTTTTGTGAGTACTAGTATGTCTCTGTGAAACTAACTAGCTACCCGATTTTGCACTTTCATACATGCAAATAAATTGAACAGAAAAAACAATGGACCATGGATGATTTACGAAATTGGTTACGGATAACATTTTCGAAATAGATAATTACAAAACGTTTCCACCAAGGTGCCACAACAAATATTCTATTTCAGAGATATTCAATCAATGAATTGTGTGGGTTTAGTTGACAGAATATAATTGCATAGTTTCTGTGAACACATTATACAAGTGCAGAGACAACTGCCTAGAAATAACATATACTATATTTTAAAGCCACTAGAAGTGGGTTCATAGAAGCAGTAACAAGATGAAATTTCAATTAAAATTTTATAAATACTAGATTTAAAGGGATTACAAACTGATCTAAGATACCGGCTTTGATTTGTTATGACGACGGATATATTCTAATCTACGTAACCACAATACCGTTCTCCTTTTTCCCAAAAGTGACCTACCGAATAAGACTTATCACCCAGTGTATACTTACATGACCAACACGACGGGTGCCACAAGTGAAGCAGGACCTGCCTACCATTCCAGAGCACCTGGGATCACCCTCGGTATTTAATGGGATTCGGTTTGTTCAGTCTTTAGTTTTCTATGTTGTGCTTTGTGAACTGTTGTTTTTCTTTTTGTCTTTTTGTCTTTTTTATTGTTTGCCATGGCGTTGTCAGTTTATTTTCGACTTACGAGTTTGCATGTTCCTTTGATATCTTTCGCCTCTTTTTTAAACCAAACGGGCGTTTCGTCGACTCATCAGTGG